AGTTCACATGTCCCTGAAACATGTGCTACTGTCTCAGCTAATCTTATAGTTAGGGTACTTTTCGTGTACAGAATAACCCCGCCTCCCTTCAGTTTAATCTATCAGCCCTACTGGTTATGAAATCAGTCAACCGGATTTCACTATCTAATACTTCTGACGTTAACCAAGTTTCCGAGAAAGCAATAACTTCCGGTTTTCCTTTATCCACCACTGACTTGAGCTCCCCCATTTTATTTAGTAGGCTGCGAGCATTTGTGTAGCATACCTTTAAGTCTGTGCAGAGCTTCCCCTTGCCACCCAGAGTGGCTTTGGGATCGTTTTGCTCCGAACTCTTACAACTTGAAAACCCTTAAAAACAAGGTTTCGTTCCCCGTTTTGGCGACGTTCATTTATTTCCGCTTCTGCAGCTCTTCTCTTAATACGATCAGCTAGGCTGAGATCCTCACACACATATATTCCGGATCCTATCAGTTTACGTGAATTACTTAGAATCAGGTTCCTTTCTTCCACCGTGTTGAATGTAACCTTCAGGAGGCGGTTTTTCTGAGGACTTTCGGAATCCACCTTTTTTCCTATTCTATAAAGCTTACAAATACTAACTCCTGAAACTGTATCTGGGAGTAGTTTACTTAATGATGTCTTAATATGATTGAGATCGTGTTCAAATCTCGCCTTTGGTTCTTTATCTGAAGATTCTCTTATCTTATGAAAAATGACTGATCTATCAGAGAGATCTGTCTTTTCACGCGGTGAGGATTTTTCTTCTGATAACATCCCTTCCAATGCCTTGCTGACCAGCTGCGTTTTGCCCACAGCCTTTTTCTTCCCATTTCTTTTTCTCCTTACTGAAGTCCATTTGTCATCAGTCAGGACAGCCACACCTGGACTACGTGGAACGGTGACAGTTTTATCCGGATCTTCTATTTCAACTAGAGGTGTATGACTGCCGATGTCAATATCAAGCGGCACTTCATGCCTCGTTAGTGTCAACGGAGATTTCACGTTCCCGTCAACCACAATCAGGTGTTTAACGGGTCCAGTAGCAGCACTCACTACACTGACACATTCTTCTCCGTCAGTGCTCTTGTTATTATTGCTTCCGCCATCGTTTTTCTTGCAGGCCAAAGCCAATAGGCCCATAGCCTCCTGAATTAGTACCTAACCACTCCTATGAATCCGGTGTTCATCTTGCTGTGCTAATGAGGTATGGCAACCTGGGCCGATGCATACATGTGCCTGGTCCTACGTTGTAGCTGACTGACTGACAGCAGAACATACAAAGCCAATGCGAGTTAGGCTTCGAGCATCTTTTGTAAGTCGTCGGACTTAGGCGTGTACACATTTTGTGGTACCACTTTTTACAATCGTCACATTGCATTCCCTCCTCAACGGGGAACAAACAATTTGGTTGCCCACGTTTGTGAGTCTTACCAACCATTGTAATTCGATTTAAAAGGTTTAAAAACACAAAGTGATCACAATGTGAACACAAGTGTTAGTCAGGAGTAAAAAAGGTACCCAGGACAAAATTTAGCAAAAACTTTCAAACTTTAACCAGAGTACTTTTAGTTAAAGTAGACCAAGAATGCTTTTTGGTGCAATAAGTACCCAAAGCAAGTATAATCACAACAAGTACAAAAATCACTTCCCTTTTTGATATGACTATATTTATGAATCAGAGAAATATGCGCACATTCTCATGAAATTGCGTGGATTTAAGTTATCACTTATTAACATTATCAGAAATACTAGTGAACCAAAAATACTGAGAAAAAACTTGACGGCCCATTAGTCAAGCAGATCAACTTAGTGAGAAGTGCAGATATGTTAAATATTAGTTAAATAATAGTGTGGATACTTCTGATCTAATGTTATCGATTTCTATGTTACCTTGCTTCTACTTGTTAATTCTGGCCTTCGCGAGGATCGTATTCAGCAAGTCTTCTGTGTTGTAACACAATTTAACATAATGTAAATCTCAAGCTATATACTTTTTCTCTATGTATTCGAACTTTCCCTTTATTAACTTCATTATTTGCTTGCTTTCTTGACCTTTTTCGGTGCTGTTCGTGAATTGTCGAAACTCAAAGACTTATGTTCTCCTTCCCAAAAAATGTCTTGAAAGGTTGATTCTGGATATGTAGCGTGATGGCTTAAATTCGAACAAATTTCCGTTGTTGGCGTAATAAACGCTCATATATTGTGTTAAATAAGACATATATTCTCTTCTATTTGAAAATATGTTGTTTTATTTTTTTCTTTCAGACAGCAAATGGACTTCCTGGTGGAAATAGATGATGAGTTGGACTATGTTAGTTTATGGTATTTCTATTAATTTGGTTGATTTGGCTATTGATTTCAAACTTTGTTTATTGTGTAATATTATTATTATTCGAACACTTAAATATTGGTACAAAGGGCACCGAATACATATGCACCACACAGATAGCTTGATTTGTGTGTGGCTTGTGATACTTCTCGGGTGCCCAGACCCAAGAAGGTGGTTTTTTTAGGGGGTCACACCGGAGTCTTCGACCTAAAGGTTTGATCCTCAAGGTAGTGAAGCAACATCAGGAGGTGCAGTCTCATGGTAGCCGGTGACCAACAATTGGTTCATAATCCATTTGTTATTTCAGGATCCTGGAGCCAGCCCATGTGCATTATTGGTTTGGAATCAGGGTTTTCCAACTCCCCTAGATGGACTGTCGTTGTCCACCAACCTGGTTGGAGCGTCAGACATTCGCTTTTCGTCCTCTCGATTTCCTAAACAACAGGCAGTGTAGGAGTTCCTTGACATTGGGTGTATACGCGTGTCCATGTGAGAGCATTTCGAGAGGGAGAGCTAACTCTCCCCACCGTACCAGAGCATTCAGGAGCAATTGTATAATCCATCGTTGATATTTTATCAATATTATGAGGTTATTACCGACAGTTGTTTCTAATTAATGGCTTAATCCAATTATTTAGCTGCAAAGTACAACGCACGGAGTTTGTCTTTGTTCATCCTCCCTTTGCTCGCCATTTGGACACATCTTAATAAGTTTGATATTACTTACTTCTGTTACCCCCCATAGAGAAGCATAAGCCACTTACCAGCATTCTCCATAGAACTCTGTTGTGGACAATCCTTCCCGGTTGTTTCCAGTTTCTACTCATTCTCTCGATGTCTACTTCCAAATCCCGACGCAATGTGTTCCATGGTCTTCCTTGGCTTTCTGTGCTCTTGTTTGACTGTTTTTAGTTCCTGTCTTCTTGTATTTCCCTACTTAAACCATGCACCGAGTTTTGATGGAGATCTACTCTTTGTGATGATGCCTCTTGCGTCTCAGAACCTCTTGTGACGTTGAAGTTAGTGCTTTTCTGGTCCGTTTTCAATTGTCTTCTATAGTGGTTTCCTCTTATTGGAACCCATTGCTGAGACTTATTTTGAATCCGCCAATTTTATCAGTATTTTGAAGGAAGACTATATTAAACCCTCGTAATGCTATTTGTCTAGTTGTCCAGTGCTTCTTTAGTTTCGATTTCATCTTGGCAACCATCAAGTGGTGATTTGAAGCTATGTCAGCTCCTCTCTTGGTTCTCACGTCTTCCGTCTATTTTTGAATTTCTTATTGATGCAAATATGATCAGCCTGATTCTCTGTGGTGTGGTTCGGTGATAAGGAAGTGGCTTTGTGTATGTGTTTGTGTGGGAATATTGTGCCGCCTATAACCGACTTGTTGAACTCACATAAATTTGCAAGTGTCTCACCACTTTCGTTTCTTTCTCCCAGTCCATATCGTCCTATGAAATCTTCGTATTCGGTGTTGTCCATTCTGACTTTGGCGTTTAGGTGTCCAATCAGAGTGGTCAGGTCTTTCTGGGCACCTCGCTGTGATTTATTGTAGCCTCTCATAAAACTGATCTTTATCGTCGTCATTGCTATCATTGGTTGGTGCATAGAATTGGATAAAATTCATTGTGATCCCCATTTTGCTGATTCTGGATGCATGAGATTCCCATCCCATAAGTGCTTTTCGTGTTTCTTTGGATAGCATCAGTGCAACTTCCTGCGTACACGGTGCTAGCATTTTATCGATCATGACCAGGGTACAACAGCATATCTCCCGAATCTAACCTTTTTTGTCCAGCTTGGGTCTAATGGGTGTCACTTATTCTGATAACTACTAAGTTGTACCTTCTCATTTCCGTAGCTATCTGACTGGTCCTCTCGGTCTCCCACATTGTCCAGTCATTCCAGGTATCCATATTATTTGTTCCTTCTGGTTGTTAAAAGGAGTATTTGCCGAGTGACTTCCGAAGAATCTCGGCTTTCACCATGAGCCGTTATAATCCTTTTAAATGAAGATCCTTCAACTTTCAGGACAAATGCCCTAGTACGGCCGAGAGTCCACCTAGTGGAGTTGGGAAACCCTGATTGCAACCCAATGGTGCACATGGGCTGGCTTCAGTATCCTGCATGAAAAAATGGCGTATGAACTAATCGTTGTTCACCGGCTACCATGGGACTGCATCTCCTTACGATGCTCCACTGCCTTGTGGATCGAAGGTTCCGGGTGTGGCCCCCCGAGGAAACCATCTGCTTCGGTTTGGGCACCTGGGCAGTATCACAGCCTTCACACATGAAATGAGATCTGTGTGGCGCATATCTATTTGGTGCCTCTTTGTACCAATATCTATGTGTTAAAATAAATAAATAATAAATAAGTGGTTTAGATTGTATTTTTCTGGTTGGCGTCTTTTAGTAAGATTATTTTCTATGAAATGAGGTTGCTGACTTTATGTCCAACCCCTCTCATCCGGGCTAAGGATCGATAGTAACCCTAGAAAGCCTATTGTCGTAGTGGGATTTGACATGTATAGAACCATTAAAATAAAACGCTCTCAGTAGTTTGGCATTCTTCTAATCCCTCGGTATCATATTGCCACATGAAATGTCGGTCATTTTAATCAAACTTCGTCTTCATATCACGGAATATGTTTGGATTTGTATTTCGTAAGGGTCATTTTCCAGTCTCACAACTTTTCACAAGTTGTTTTAATTTGTTTGAACTTTGTGGAACTCATGTGACATCTATGTTGCGTTTTTTAAGTACTTAGGCATAAAAGAATTCGATTATATACTGTCGTTTTAATATGGATATCATCTTTACAGTTTTGGTCCTATTAATTTAAATCAACGATAACTATATGTAGAATATTGTTCTCGGTAGGTTCTCATTCAGTTACATAATTAAATATCCACATTAATGTTTCCCAAGAAGCATTTTTACTGCAAATATATCTAAGGGTTACAGCACATGAATTTCAGATTTGTTAACAAAATAAAGCAATATTGTTAGTATGTACTGTTGACTTCCATAAGTTTATACGTTAAATAATAGTCAGAATAACTACAGATAATAGAGCGAAGGGACTAATCGTACAATTGCGAACCAAACTAAACGTTTCTTTAAAGACGAAGTAACTCATGAAGTTATATAAAGTTAGTAAGAGATAGCAAATTGGGTGAGTGGTAATTAAATTTTCCATATATTTACGTGATATTAATAATCCAAAGGTATTTGAATAATAATAATATCTGAATAAGATAAAATTATTAATGAAGACCTAAAACAGAAGGCTTTACGTACATTAGCCAAACTGGTTCCTTTCATAACTGAAATGCTTATTGACTTACTGTGTTCAAGGTTTACCATGGTAACAGAAGCTGTGGAAGATGTTTCTTTTGTACACAAAACTCCAGTCTTTCAATGTGAATAGCTTCTGCTGTTTGAAGGATTTTAAGTCTGATAGATTTTGGCCGAAAATTACTAACATCACAATCTGCGGGGAACGATTGATGTGCACTGCTAGTATAATCCGTTTGAATCGAATGAAGTAGTAAGATAATGAATCTTCTTTGACTGCGGTGGCTTGAACATATTTGACTCATGTTCAACCACTGTCTACGCCGATAAGTGATATATTATGTAGGAACAGGTTGGAAGAAAGCTAGGGGCTGCTAAACTTATGTATGGCATCATTCGATGTGGTCACTGATTGTCGGACCTAGTCATGTAGTTAGGTGTAGACTATCTAGTTAGGTACAGTGTGATCGTAACCGTTGGTAGAGATGTTACATAAGATGACTTAGGATCGATGGCATTGGGACAGATGCACTCACTCGTCTTTTTTTCTCAGATCTTGATTCCCACAATCTTATACGTTCTTTATGTAATCTTTTTTATTACCATTGATGCCTTTAGTATTCCTACCACTCTGAGATATGACTGAGTAATTTTTTCTGGGTATTTCAATGTAGTGTGGGAATGTGAATCGATGTACATGTATATCAGATTTCATGTTGCATATAACTGACTGACTGAAGTGGAAAAGTATTTAGCTGAAAGTTTTCACTGAAGTGAAAAAGTGAATCCCCAAAACATTTGCTAGTGTAACTTGCTTCACATGATGAAGTGAGCGGATAGATATAAAAATCGTGGCTAGTTTAGGCGATTTATCTCTCAGTCTGGGTGTTACCGCCTAACGGATAGAAAATATTAGTTGTGGTGTTCTCACGTCTAACATTTCTTAAATTGCTCTGCATAACCTCGTAATTAAAATTTCTCCGGGTACGTTACTTCTAAATAGCAGGTGCATAAATAGCTCATAGCGTTCCAACTTAATTTTGTTTTACTGTCGTAACTAAGCGCTTGCTTATTAAGTTTTGGTCAACTTATGGTTTAGAATGAAGGTGAATCACCTGTAACTTTCAAAAGAACCGGTACCAGTTACACAGGAGATTTAAAGTCTTCACAGTTTCACGTTAAACCAGTTTATCTAAGCGATAAAGGCCGTCGTACTATTGTTTCGCCCCGTGAAGAAGGAGAGGCTTATTCAGATGATGAAAATGATTCTGGTATGCCACCAGTTGATTCAAAGCGTGAATATAACAGCAAACAAATAACTCATTTTGATAAAGAGGAAGGTGAGGCATCTAGTGAAGAGGACCGACGTTATGACAATTCAAAGCGGGAAAAATCAGGTTCCAGTAAATATCCTCCAGGGAACACAAATTTGACACTTGAGGAACATCAATATCGGAACCGTTTACATGAAAGATATGAACGACGTGAGCGTGAGAAGAAGAGAATACGCGATAACATAGATCCAGAGTCAATGCATGGGTCGAACCAACATGGACGTCCAGTATATTACAAAGAAAATTCTACCTCCAGCAGTGAAAGAGAAGGTATCCATTCTAATCCAAAAGTGGAAGACTCAGAAGTTAATCGGAAGTATCAGTCTTCGAAACAATCGGATTCAAAGCAGAGAGGTAATTGTAATTACAGCTAAAATGCTTTTGTTTAAAATTTCCTTTAAAATAATGGTTTACAGAATTTAGGATGGATTTTCAGATTTATACCCACCCACTGCGTAACCCGATATGGGTTGATATAATATGAATGAGTTAGAGGTCTATGGGATAGTCAAACCAGGATGTTTCACTAATTCATGAAATCCTTGACTCTTGGTCTGAAATCTATCTTAAGGTTGAGATATTCTGGATCACAGTGTTTGGGCAATAACTGCAATCAATCATTAGAGATGTTAGGTGACACTACTGGAAAGCATTTTCAGTAGAGCAGCTGTATTCATTCGTCATAAAATCAACAAGATGAGTTATGAAAGGAACTGAATGAAAAGTACTAAGATTTTTAAATTTATTAGGATGTAATGAGTAACTACATCTGAGTTACAGTTATCAACTTGTGGCTATGTCATTTGGGGTTTCTACCGGTTAGTTCCCATCATCTTGAAAACTAAGAACTCTGCGTACCTCTAGACTTCTCGGATCAGCGATAAGTGCCTCCAGACTAGTGTCATGTTCTGGTTCATCCGACCTTACTAGCTTCAGTGAACAAAAAACAAATAATGTTAGATGCGGGTTATTATGTTTATGTTACAGAATCTGATGGATATATTGTAGATCAGATCTGTTATCTGTCTGTGTTTTACCTGTTAACTGTACTTAGGATTCTGTTCTTTCTACATTGTTTTTTCTTTAGATCGTATATTAGTGTCTACGGTTCATCAAACATTAGAAAAGTCACCTCAAGACAATCGACAATACAAAACAGCTTTACAAGTAGAACGCGAGGAATATGTGCTAAAATATGGCCAAAATCAATCAAGTTGTGTTACTGTAACTGATAGAATTATTGAATCGCAAACTATTTATACAGATGAACTAAATCCTTCACAACCAGAGATAAATCGTAAATCGAAATCTAAAAAATCTAAACGTGATCGGAAAGAAAAAGAGCAGAAGATGACATCAAAAGGTCGAGAGGTGACAACATTAAAAGTTAAAAAGGAAAGTAAGCAACGAAAAATTCAATCTGGTAATAGTAGTAGTCATTTAGACTATAATACTTGGGAGTCAATTCAAAAATATACCAAACTTCCAGATCGTCATCATGGACCTCTCCAACATAGTCGTTCAGGTTCATTAGATTCCATATCTTCCGCTTCATCTCAACTGAGTAAAGTTTCTGCATACACTGGTTGTTCATCACACTCATCACCCTTGGGATATCGTAAGTCATCAACATCATTAACAAGTGGTCAACAACTTCGACGCTCTTCTCAATCACCCAATGATCTTGATGAATCATATACCTATTCTAAGAAACGTTATCATCGTGAAGCTAGAGAAACTGCTCCACCACCTGAATCTACACGTCATTATGTTGGTCCAAATCAAATATCGGTAAAAATGAAACATAAGCGTAAAGGTGACAAACGTGAAACATCTGAAAGTATTAATTATGGAGTAAATTTGGCTAGTAAACGTGAAAAACTATCACAGGACAGTGAAAATCATGAATTACAAATAGAAGATTCACATACACACTCAACCACTGGACGCACCAAAAGTAAGATGTCAAAATCTCTTGGAACAGAACCTAGTAAACACAAAAAACACTCATCTAAGAGTTCAAAAATGAAAAACAATCGATCAACAATGAGAAAGATATCATCCACTTCAAAACTGGAAGGAGACTATGAACAAAGTAGTCGCAATCTCTATAAGTTAGTAGTAAATAAACCCGAAGGTGGTGAACAGTATTCAGAAGAAAGTGACTCAGATCCACACAATATCAATGATAATAGCAACAGTCGACGAAATAACCATGAAATTAGTTATAACAAGATAGCAGATATTGATATCAATGAGAAAGCTGGTGGAAAATCTAAGGAAATGAATGTATTATTTCCTGCTGGAAATAAAATAATTGGGAATGATATAAAAGGTGAATTTAATAGACTACCACCTCCTCCGCGTTATCCGGGCTATTCAGAATCTTCATCTGAATGTGAAGAAGGTGGAGTACCCGATAATGGTTTTTTGGATGATGATGATGACGATGTCAATAATCATAAACTTGATGATGTTGAACTTCATAAAGACGATGATGTTGTTAATGATGATGAAATCAGTTCCTTTAAGAATAAACCACCTGGGAAGCCATTCTATTTCCCATCTATACAAGTAAGGGTGAAATTTTTTATTTTTTATATGTATTAAATAGTGATTATGTATTTATTTTCTACATTGAGTAATTAACAATATCATACTTGTCTGATTCCCAACACTGATTTAATTCCATTGATCAAGTTCCAATGTGGTCATTAGTCTGAGTGATTCTTTATAGCGTCCACCATGTTCTGATGTTTGTTAAATAAAGACAGGCATTAAGAAACCCTAAACTCAAGTTTGATACTAGTTGGCACTGCAATCTTTGTGGAACTGGTACTCATGAAATTCAAATCCTCCTCATTGAGTGTCTTTATACGAAACACGGTTACATCGTTGTAAAATGCCTAAAATCGACATTGGAGAATAACATGTAATGAACTAATCGTTAATAGAACATATTTTTCATTGGAGCAGTGGTTGTGGACATTTTTGAATTTTCGTTGAAAACCTGAAAGTACTAGACATCTGTTCCGACTTAGTATAGGACACCTCACCAATGCACATCCACAATCTTTCCTTCGGTGATCGAACTCATTACTTTCGGTTGCGCTCACGAACACTTTAACCTCTAGACAACTTAGCCATTGGATCTGAACTCATAAAATAATAATATTGTACATAGCCACGATTATGTTACGAGTAAGGAGATAGAAATACATATAGTAGGTGAATTACTAGATGTCATACTAATGAGATACACATGGGCATTTTCATAGTTGCAAGTAATATTGAAACCTTAACCTGCATCTTTGTTAGAGATACAGCTAATTGATTTGATCACTTGTTTTTTCAACGCCTCACCTACTGGTTAGTATCAATAATTTCATCGCTGTTGTTAAGTTTAACTTCTGGGTATAATCATGGACGTATTTCCATAAAATACAGTAAGCTAAATCACTTCTCCATCCCTCCCATTAATCCTCTCCTTAGATTTTGATCCATACCATAATCTATGTCTCTTTGATTGTCTTTCTCGTTTGATCTTTTTTAGGGTTGTAGATCAGTAGAAGAATTTGAATGTCTCAATCGTATTGAAGAAGGCACTTATGGTGTTGTCTATCGAGCACGTGATAAAAAAGTGAATGAAATTGTTGCATTGAAACGTTTAAAAATGGAGAAAGAACGTGATGGTTTCCCAATTACATCATTACGTGAAATAAATATGTTAATGAAAGCTCAACATGAAAACATTGTTACTGTACGTGAAGTAGTAGTTGGCAGTAATATGGATAAAATCTATTTAGTTATGGATTATGTTGAACATGATTTAAAATCATTAATGGAGGTAAGCAGGTGGTTCGGTTATTGCTTTTGTTTTTTTCTATGGTTAGCGATTTTTTAGCGAGTTAGTTTTCTACTGGATGCGGTCGCTAACCCCATGTCCAACCCTCCTCCCTTATCTGGGCTTGGGACGGGCAGTAGCCCCAGAGGGGCTCCAGGTGGAGTTTTGTGTTCTTTTACGTAGTATAATTTCATATTTAAAATTACCGACTGTTCTTAGCTTAACTCATTGAAAGTTGATAACCACTTGACGACTGTTTCGTCCTAGCATGACACTACTCAGCAGTGCGCATCTTCAAACCGGCTGGATATCGAACTCAGGACTTCAGGTCTCTCAGCGAGCTCTCTATCTTTCGATCACTGATTCAGAATCAAGTGATTTTCATTCTTAACTTCAATCGATTTGCGATATTACAATCGAATAATCCAATCCAGCTGGTAGATACTTGCTGCTTGTCTAAGATAATTGTACTCTTATGAATACGGTCTCTTACTAGAGCTCCCGGAATCGCCTCGGAATCGGTCACTAGCGAGCACACAATTATTATTAGTTGCATAATTCATTCATACAGCTTTTGTATTTCATGTTGCACATTGACTAGGTATATGTTATGTTTACTTGACTGTGAACGAAATCATTTGTGTTAAAAGTTAGGGACACTAGTACTTGGTTGCTTAAACCGAAGTAAGTAAACCGTATCTGTGAATTATCATTTGAAAGCTGATTGCTTTAATCAATTGGCCACCGCTCTAGAATTTAAATATGTAATAATAAATATGTTTACTATCTGTAAAAGTTTTTTTCTAATGAGTTCTAGTTGGCTAGAACTCTTCAAATGAACCAATCTTTGATCACCGGCTACCATGGGACTGCATCTCTTTAAGAAAACCACCTATTTTGGTTTGGGCACCCGAGCAGTACCACAGTCCTCACACAAATCAAATGAGAGTTTTGTGGCTTTATGTATCTGGTGCCCCCCTCCCCCTTGTACCAGTATTTATGTGTTCAAATAAATAATTAAGTATCTAATCCAGTTGTGGATTGCAGTTCAAAGGATAAGAAAGGTTCTTAATTATCAAATGGGTTCTCACACTACAGAATTATTGGTATATGCTTTCAGTAAACTGACATAAACAAGACAGTTCCTCAACAGAATAGATTTTTTTATGTAATAAAATGACATATTTGTTCACAAAATATTAACACAAAGTAAACACGATCAAATGTCACAATCGATTGGTTACTGTCAGTTTTTGAAGATCCCTAACTCTTTAATGAATTAAAGTCTTTTGTCCATGGATATTGTTTTCGTGTAGTTCAGACTGAATGCTTCTTTTTTTTGTCCGGTTGGAAAATAAACGTCTACTTTCTTATATACACAGTACAATATTTAATCCATTCTTCTGTGTTTATAACTAGTATCTAATTCTTTATTTACTCTTCTACAGATTATGAATGGTCCTTTCAGTGTTGGTGAAGTGAAATGTTTACTTGTACAATTACTAAGAGCAGTTAGTCATCTACATGATAATTGGATATTACATCGAGATTTAAAAACTTCAAATCTTCTGTTAAGTCATCAAGGAATTTTAAAAGTGAGTTATCATTATTGTTTAAGTAAATTGTCCAATTTGTTCATTAGTAGTTATTCGAAACACTTTTTTTACTGATTGAATGAAAATGTAAAATACATCTATTTTTAACATGTTCGGTACTACTGATATAAACAACATATGTCTGTAATCTTGAAACATTTCATATATCTTCCGAGCGAGAGATTTGACGTCGTTAAAATCATTTTGTCCCAGACTAGCACCACTTAAAGAATGCTATTGGGAATACCGTTTAGTAATAGTGGAGAAGATTTGTAGCTTAGGTGGATGATTTTGATGGAGTTTTGTTCTCTGGGCTGGATGGTTTGGTCGTGGAGCTTTCATCGTTCTTCTGAACGACATATCAGCACAAACTTCAGGTAGATCTCTACCTATCCAGCTCATAGAACAAAACTTCATCAAAACCGTTTAGTCTTTATCTGAGACTCCGCAGAAGTGCACCAGTGCTTGAATCTAGTACTTGTAGAACTCTGTACAAGCGTATAACTTTTAGACTATTGAAAGTTGGAACTCAATCTTTCATGTTTACTATTTTGATCGCTTTGTGTTCATTTCGAGACAATCATTTTATTCCATGGCCTACTAAACGACGCATTTGGATACTTTACCAAAAAAAGAGTTTTAGAACTTTGCCTATTGACTATCTCCTGTCATTTATTATCAACCTTAATTTAGTCTATTCGTGTAAATTACTCAGCCTTAGGATTAGATCATAAACTTGACCAGTTGATCTTACTTGACATTGATCTTGACTATAGTCAAGATATGGATTAGTGTAGAAATTGTTAGTTTTAATTTTTGAAAACCTCATTGTTATTTCATTTCATTTTTTTGCATGTCGATTACTGTAGGTAGGAGATTTCGGCTTGGCTCGTGAATATGGCTCTCCATTGAAACATTATACAGAAGTTGTTGTCACCTTATGGTATCGAGCACCGGAGCTGTTACTAGGTAGTTTTAATTGCTGTTTTTTTTCTCGTTTTTATTTTTAAATCTTAATCAATAGATTTAATCAATAATTGGTATACTAATTCATGTCTTAGATTCACGAAGCAGTCGGTGTTTGGGCATAGGTAACACATGTTGAGATGGCTGAGACATGTGTTACGTATGCCCAAACACCGACTGCCCCGACGTGTGGTGTTTTATGGTGTAGGAGTAGGTTGGAAGAAAGCTAGGGGCGGCCAGAACAAAACATGGCACACATCCATGAAGTCACTGACAAGTGGACTGAGCCATGTTGTTAGGTGTAGGCTACCTGGTTGGGATCCGCGAGATGATAATAACAACCGATGGTTAGAGACCTTGAACGACATGGCTCAAAATCGTTTGCAATGGTGTGCGCAGATGCATCCACTCTTTGTGTTCACCCAAATTCTATTCTTCTGAATTCTTCATGTCCCTTTTTCTCTCTTTCTAAATTTATTTCATTGGATTATAATCCTTGACTAACATCTTCAAACCCTAATCTTTCCGATCACTGCTTATATTTTTACTACCTCTACCACTATAGAATTTGAATAGACAATTGTATCAGTGTGGTAATGTGGTATGACAACTTGAACTGATGTACGTACGTACGAAGTTCTACGTTGTGGCAGAGTGACTGACTTAGATTCACTGATTGTTTTATTATTAAGTTTTTTTTGAAGTCCTTAAAATATTTCCAGTCGCAAATAGCAAATTTAGGACGTAAATAGCCTGTACTGTTTGACTGTACTTAGGTGGAGCGGTAGTAAATTGTTTCTTACTTGTATTCAGCATCTCCGAATGATGCTTTCTCAAGAAAATGGTAAAGAAAATTCAAAACACGTCAACCATAAAGAAGAGAACTTCCTTGGCTCACAAATTTCTAGATTTTATGCTAGCCCAATCCAACATGTGACTGAAATTTTGATATAATAATGAAGGAATTAAAAGGTTTGGCGGCATTCTATAATAGTTACATGATAATACAATACTCAACAATATACTAGATTATGCGACCCAGTATCAGACTATGTACTCGCTCGACATATTGATTAATAGATCAGCAGGTTAGATCATTGAAAATTCGATCGACGATTGAGAACCAAATTAGACTAGGCAATAGTTAATTGACACAAATTACAAACACTTAACACAGTGAAATCCCATTAGAAATCAATCATGAATAAAATTAATAATATGCTATAATTTCATGGATTTAACGTAGTTGAATGTATCTATATTCCCTCACTGATTCGTTACATTTTTCTTTCATCGACATATCAGACTGATTCCTCTATTGTTTCATACATATCTATATTTATTTATTTATTTCAACACATAGATATTGGTACAAAGAGGCACCAAATACATATGCGCCACACAAATCTCATTCGATATGTGTGAGGACTGTGATACTGCCCAGGTGCCCAAACCGAAGCAGGTGGTTTTCTTAGGGGGCCACTCCCCAAGCCTTCGACCTGAAAGTCTGATCCACAAGACAGTGGAGCATCGTGAGGAGATGCAGTCCCATGGATGCCGGTGACCAACGATTGGTTCATACACCATTTGTTCCCGCAGGATACTGGAGCCCATGTGCACCGTTGATTTGAAATCCGGTTAAAGCTCCGGACACTCACTTTTCGTCCTCTCATTTTCGTCAACAACACCCCTGGTGAGAGAAGGCAGTGAGTAGGACTTCCCTGACAGAGGCTATATACGCGTGGCCATGTGAGAGCATTTCGAGAGGGAGAGAGGACTTTCCCCACTCTCGGCCATACCAGGACATTTGGGGGCGCATACATATCTAGTGTTAATGCATATGTTATTATAATTGATGCAGTTGGCATTTTAGATGTTATTCACTAAACTCTCTCGTTTGTATGAATTACTACCATATTTTTTGTTGTTGTTGAAAATAATAGGTACCAAACAATATACTTGTCCAATTGATTTATGGTCAGTTGGTTGTATTTTCGCTGAATTCTACTACAACGACCATTATTCCCTGGGAAAGGTGAAGTGGATGAATTAAATATTATTTTTCGAGATTTGGGCACACCAACAGAACGTATTTGGCCAGGTGTATCTCAGTTGCCTGGAATTAAAAAATGTGTTTTTACTGAATATCCGTATAATCAATTAAGACGAAGGTTTACTGAAAAACAAATATCTGATCAAGGCTTTGATTTATTGAATAGGTCAGTTAAAAAGCGGTATTTTATTTTGTGTTTAAATTATTGACGAATCTTAATGTTTAATTGAAGAGGTTTTGTAGGGATTAATCTGTTTTGTAGGTTTCATGTGTCACAGATTGATGTCAGTCGAGGTACTTTTAAAAATCAGTGCACACTGAACTGCTATTTCGTCCTATTACAGGAATGTTCGGTTATGAGCAAGTACAACTCATATCAGCGACTGAACCCACTGTAAGACAAGACTATAGGCAGGAGGCATTCATCTTTATTGTGAGAAGTTAAAAATTATTTACCTAATACATACGCAGCTTTCAATCGTCCATTTGCGTTTTCCGGTATGTTCAAAGGACCACACCCGGAGCCTTCGACCTAGAGGTCTGATCCACAAAGTAGTGGAGCAAGGTTATGACATTCACTCCCATGGTAGCCGATGACGAACATTAGGTTCATACTTTATTTTTTCCCTCAGGATCCTGAACCAGACTATGTGCATCATTGGCTTGGAATCAGGGTTTTCCAACTCCCCTAGGTGGATCCTCTGTGTCCACCAACCCGGTTAAGGCACCGGGCATCCAGTTTTCGTCCTCTGAATTTCGTAAACAACAGTAATGCCGCGAGAATTCAGTGAGTAGGACTTCCGTGGCAGTGGCTGTATACGCGTGGCCATGTGAGAGCATTTGGAGTGGGAGAGTGGACTCTCCCCACCCTTGGTCGTACCAGGGCATTCGGGGGCTGTGCAACCTATGCAACTTAAATCTCAGTTGGTTTGCGATATCAAGCGATGATCATCCAATCCTATTTATGATAATTGTTTCACTCCCCGTATACTTGAACTTCACCCATCATGACTTCATGCTAGATCTTCAGAATCATCTTGAAGTAGGTCGCTAGTGATCTGAATATTGAAGTTGAATTGAAAGGGTTTTGTGGAGATTGGTTTTAATTTGTAGATTGTACTTGTCCAGTGCTCAGTGGTTTTCAGTAGTATTCCGACTGGAATCAATTTGTGACAATTACAATCTATGAGGTTTAATGCTATTTTTTTAATATCTCTAGCTTTTGGTATAATTTATACAAAAATTACTGAGGTCACCAATACCATAGAAAACTGTAAACAATGAAAGGTATGATATGTAAAGTTTCTGAATATATTCATATCTTAAATCATTCTTTTTATTAATACAGACCAATAGGACTGTAGGACAGCTCATTAATTTTGTCTTATATGATGTAATATCTTTAACAATATTTCAAACCCATTCTTCTCGTTGTTTGTGATTTTTCATTTGTTGTTATTTGAACCAGTAGAATTTATTATATTCTATTGTATTCCTTCAACTGCTGAATAGTAGTTATCAGTTGATCCTCAACCACAGTTATGACTTTGTTTAGTTGTTCTAACTTTTCGTAAGCTTAATGAAGATCCTCGGTGCATAATTGCAGAGTAACACGTACTAACCGCTACTGATAAATTCAACAATGTAGTATCAATCTGTACTAACAAATATTTCAAATGATGTGAATTGACTGTGAAGTGTTCTTCTCTTTTCCAATCGTATTCAAATACTAATGTAATTGATATGATATAAGGTACTTGAAATGGTTAGGTATAAATCTAAATTCAAGACGTTTTAATCTCATTTGTAACAGATATGTTTTTTATTTATTTATTTGAACACATGAATATTGGTACAAGAGAGCGCCAATACATATGGGCCCCTGAATGCCCTGGTACGGCCGAGAGTGGGGAGAGTCCGCTCTCCCTCTCGAAATACTCTCACACGGCCACGCGTATACAGCCTCTGCCAGGGAAGTCCTACTCATTGCCTTCTCGCACCATGGGTGTTGTTTACGAAAATGAGAGGACGAAAAGCGAATGTCCGGCGCTTTAACCGGATTCCAAACCAATGGTGCACATGGGCTCCAGTATCCTGCGGGAACAAATGGCGTATGAACCAATCGTTGGTCACTGGCATCCATGGGACTGCATCTCCTCACGATGCTCCACTGCCTTGTGGGTTAGACCTTTAGGTCAAAGGCTCGGGGAGTGGCCCCCTAAGAAAACCACCTGCTTCGGTTTGGGCACCTGTGCAGTATCACAGCCCACACACAAAAAAAAATATATGTTTTTTAAGTTGAAGTTAATTGAAAAGTTCTTATAGATGATTGATTTCTTTAACATTTATTGTCTTTACAGCTTCCTTACATATTGTCCAGATAAACGGATTACCGCAGAAAAAGCACTTGTTCATCCATACTTCAACGAACGTCCTCGTGCTATCCATCCATCAATGTTTCCAAGTTGGCCAGCAAAGTCTGAAGGTGGTGTTGCAGTGAAAAGAGCATCACCTAGAGCACCTGCTGGCGGTGGTGCATTGGCAGCGGCTGCGGCTGCTGTTGCTGCTGCCGCAGCAGCGGCGGCATCATCACTAGCCACAACAAGTGGTAGTCGTGTAAGGTATCAGCCTCCGGCGCCTCCTATGGGAGGTCAACGGTTTTATAGCAATATGTCTGATTCACGTCCAGGTACAGCGAATCAAGGATCAGGTGATGCTTTTACTACTAGTGGTGTAGATAAAGGATTCTTACTGCGTTTTTGAACTGTTCCTGTTGTTAGAAGTTCACATATCCTCTCTTTCCCTCCCTCGCGTTCTCTATATCTCTCTTAGATCCAATTCCTTGTACAGAAAAGACTTAAAACTCTTGCTTTTGGATTGTAACTTGTTCTCAAAAAATGTATATGTATTGTATTGAAAAAAACCCAACTTATTTTGCCATTTACTGTTTTCTTTTATTAACTAACTACTTTTGTTTGAGTCGTATAATGTTATGTTATGGGTTATTACGAATTGTGTTATAGAACTCCGGATAGATTTTGTTGTGCATTGGTGTTTCTATCGTATATGTTTGCGAGTGCAGATAATCGATTTTATTTATCCTAACCGAATTTAGCCCAATTTTCTATACAATAATCATCCGTATCATGTTTAAGGAACTCTTCATATAAAGTGGTCTGATTAAAACATTCAAGGTATCTGTTTTCCCAGTCTCCAAATTTTTCCATTAAAGATATTCATAAGTTACTAGTATTTGATCATAGGTACTTTCAAAACATTACTTAGGTTTGTTTGGACAACTTAGTGACAGTGCTGAGGTTAGGCTCAGATTACTGGGTCAAGCTGACAATTCGATTGATGAGGTAATGAGTCTCCATCGAAATGTATTAGATATTCTCGATCATCATTGTTTATCTCGGCTGGCGATGTATACTAGTGTAAAAGTAGGTTAGAACGAGGTTGTCAGCGCTGCATCAAGAAGTGTGTTCAGTCCGTGAAGTCCGTATCTGATAGATTAATCCTTCCGAATAGTTACATGCTACTTGAGTAGGGTCCTTTCGATCAGTGGTTGGATAGATTGGTTGAAATGACTCCGAAGCGTCCTAATGGTGCAGATAGATTTAATCTTTGTCTTAAAATAGGTATATTATTACACCACAAATGTATTCCTAAATCGATACATATTTCTCGTATTCTATATTTTTGACTGATTTAAGTTGACCGATATACTGTTCATTTTTACCGGATAGTGTACGAATGTTATTTTATGGAAACCATACTAAGTAATCTCAGCTTTCAGTGGTCGCTACATTTTATACATCGTTTGTTCTGTCTGAACCGTGTTAGTAAGCATATTGCTTGTTGTAGGTATCAGGTTATAGAGATTGTTGAATTTCATTGAAATCTTGAACCGGAAGCACCAAACAAATATGCGCCTTATAAATCATTGGATTTATATGAGGACCGGGATACTGCCTGGGTGCTAAACCGAAATCTTGAACCAACCTAAGTTAGCCACCATTGAAAACCTGGGAGCACTGGATGGCTGTTTCTTTCGTAATATGCAACTCCTCAACAGTGCTAATCTATGATCCCTCACACTTCCAGCTTTTCAATGGTGTCCTTAGATCGGTCAACTTTTCAATAATATTGTCTTTTGTTATGTTAACTAACCATTCCTATGAGCGCAAGTGTGACAAGGGGACAGTATTCATCAACATAGAGTTTTACGTCCGATTTGTACAAGTTGATACTCATCAGCATGGTATATCTACGATTTGAAGCCAACAACAACATTTTTTCTCGTATGTTCATTCATGACATTCACATATATTCTCTGTTTTGTTTCAGTAGTTACCTCATCTGTTTTTCACAGTTAACTGTTAATTGGTCGATGATCAGTCATTGTCATATGTGTAGATGGAATAATCATGTCATAATTATCTGAAACTATGACATTGTTTTATACACCACAATCATCACTATTATCATCTTCATCTTCATAGTTATTACATAAGGGCAACAACAACAACAACATCGATATCTTTGATATAACAAATGATTTTATCTGATGATGATCTTAATTTCACTTTTGATGAAATACAAAGAGAATTAACTAATTTAGGTGTAATCGGTTTAAATAATCAACAATTAATTCATTTAAAAAATGATTTAGATTTATTAATTAATAAAGAGAAATATGCATTACATCATTTCAATCACCACCACCACCGCCACCAGCAACAACAACAACCATCTCAATCAGTAACAACGAATGGTAATTCTATGAATGATGGTGATACCTATCAACAAATTGATGATAATAATCATATTACTACTGATAATTCTAAGAGAATTGTATCGTATCTATCTAAATCTCCTGTCGTTTCCTCTTCTTCTCCTCCTCCTCCATCATCGTCATCATCATGTTTTTCTGTGACATCTGAGGACTTTACACATTATAATACAAACAGTTATGATTGTAATAGCGTGAACAATCCATTAAAGAAATTCAATGATCATACAATACTAAATGATTCAATTAAAGTAAGTAATTGTTTACAATTTGTTTAGTTCATTTTCATTAAATACATCTGAAGTTAAGTACAGTACACCGTTAAGCCAGTGTACATGCAGTCCAGCATGAAGTCAAGTGCACGTTTTATTCAACCACTGAAGCCTAGGGTAAATATCACTAAGCCAGTATACATACAATCCAGCGCGAAGCCCCAAGTGCATGCTTCATTATATATTTTTGAGTCATGATAATAATACTTCTACATGTTCACCTACGAAAACCTTTTTACAACTTTTACTTTCTCTAAATAGTCAAATTAGGTCATCTTCTCAACATCAGTCGAGCGGCAAAGCCACTGTAACGAAACAAATCCAACGACCTTACTAAACCATTTAATTGGTAGTAACGATGGGCGGTGTGTGTGTGTGTAAAATTTAATAACTACTCATAATTAAATTGGCTTAATTTAATTGTGCAAAATCTATTGATATCAGTTCAAATTATACACTGAAGTGTTCACTAATACACCAATGATCCGACTTTGATAAATCTATATTCATAGTGTACTTCAAATCGATTGAACGTTGAAGAAAGATCTATGAAAAATCGGAAGAAAAACCCCCATCTAATTCGGTATTTTGGAACACCTCTTCATTCAATCTTAACGGATGGGTATCTATTTGTGAATATACTTGGAAATATCTCTGAATATTAAGTTATTATCAAAAACAAATTTATATCAACCATATTGTCAGTCAGTAACAACATAGAACTTCGTACTTACGTACATCAGTTCGAGTTGCCATACCACATTAGCACAGAGATGCAGTTGTCGATTCAAATCCCATAGTGGTAGAGGTAGTAAGAGTATAAGCAGTAATCGGAAAGATTAGGGTTTGAAGATGTTATTTAAAGAGTATTGTTCTTTTCCTTTTTAAGACAATAAAGGGGATTAAGTGTGCAAAACATACTTGTACTTAAATAATTATCAAACTTTTTATTACCAATTGTTTTATCACAGTTCATGTGAAATACTTAGAAATAGTGTAAATATGTACATGGAATCTTGTTTGTGGAGGGATGTATATTGCTTTGATTGTTCTTCTGAACGACATCATCAGCACAAACTTCAGATAAGAGTGAAGTGTTTGAGCTTCTCCACATGTGATTCACAACTTGTCCTGCAGACCTCGATGTTGATTGGTTCTTGTTGAACTTAATCCTGTCAATAAGAACCAATCAGCATCGAGATCTACAGGACAAGCTGTGAACCATATGTAGAGAAGTTCGAACACTTCACTTCTACCTGAAGTTTGTGCTGATGATGTCGTTCAGAAGAACAATGAAAGCTCTACGACTAAACCGTCCAACTCAGAGAACAAAGCTTCATCTAAACCATCTACATGAGCTACAAATCTTCACCATCTCAAATATATTACTCTCTTCAATGTTCGAAAAAGTACTTTTAATACAATAATCAGGAAATTTTCTACTAAGCTCTTGTTCAAGATACGTTCTCTGAGGTTGGTTATATCATTCGTTCATATTTTGCCAATGAAAAAAAACTCTAAAATTGAATTAACTTTATTATATGTTGGTAAATAAGTATCATTCATTCGTAGCCGAATGACCTAAATTCAAAAATCTACGATTTCTATTGAGAAAATTCATATGCTACTTCTTTTCAATGTGGTCAGTTGCCTCAAAATTGTGATGTTGTTGTGTTGTCATCGATTCACTTTGACTAGTCAACATGTAAATTGTTATGTAATATGAGATTTAAGAGGATTTACGGAATAAATATAATCAAGCAATCAGTACATGCATGTATGTGTAATTATATTGAATTTGAATTGATTCACAAGCTAAATCTTGACAACTTCACTTATCTTGGAAGTTTGATCAACTCTAATAGGTTGGTGTCTGATGAAATCTTTGCATGGATTCAAAAAGTTCGTTTGTCTTTTGTCAACTTATGTCACCTATGGCGAAGGTGGGATACCCGTCTGTCAATAAAAGGACGAGTATACTACGCAGCAGTTCGTTCTGTTATACCTTGTGGCTGCTAAACGTGGTCATTCAAGGTAGAGGATACTCGTAAGTTACTAGTATTTGATCACAGATGTCTTAGAAATCTTGTGAGGTGAGATGCAGGGTATTAGGGAATGATGTTTAACATGTTGATGAGGTTGTAAATCATCATCGACTGAGATGGTTGGGCCACGTGTTACGTATACCTGGACACCGATTATCACGAAGCCTAATGTTGACTAGTGTTGTAGACGGTTGGTCGAAAGTTAGAGGCGGCCAAACCAAAACGTGGGATTTGTCCACGAAGTCACTAACTTCTAGTTTGAACCATGTTGATAGATGCAGACTACTTGGTTGGTGTCCGCGTGACTATCGTAACCAATGGTTGGAGACTGTGAGTGACATGGGTCATAATTAATCACAGTAGCGTCGGTATGTGCCCTCTCTGTCTTCCCTTGAACCATGAGATTAAAATCGCTTCATATCTTTCTTTCTACGAACTAATTCTTTCTTCTTGTACTATGTCCTTATACACAATCTTTCTTACATACATTACTACCATTGAAGTAAATGGTTCTATGGATTTGGTGTTCATGTTGTTGTGCTAATGGAGTGTGGCAACTTGGATCGATACATTTATGTGCCTAGTCCTACATTGTCGCTGACTGACTGCAATCTTTACAAAAGTGGATAATCTACTTATTATCTAAATTACAGGCTTTATTAGTAGATATATGTATCATTCTCATTAGTTCATATTCTTTTTTGTTTATTCATGTGACAGTGTAAATCATCAATAACGAATAATTATCCTCTGAACTTGAATGGAAGAAACATTTCCAATGATAGTTCTGTATCGAATGTCGTACAATTATCACCTAAACATCATCATGAACATGATCATTGTCTACATCAGAAACCATATTCTTCAACTGATTCACAAATAACAGCCTGTTTTTCAACAACTAACGAGGCAATGAATAATCTGGACACCACATCGATCTCATCATCATTATCATCAACAACTCTATTACTGAATGAACCTGAAAGTCATTTTGAAGAGAAACAACAGAAACTTAATCACCATCACCACCACCGCCACCACCAACGTCAACAGCAGAAACAAACAGTTCAGTCTGGGAATGAATTGACCAGCAGTAAACAATCTGTAAATTTTAAATATTCTGATGCTAATGGACAACCTATTCATTCTGAATCTTCTATGAAAAATCTTGACTTCGAACACCGTCTAAGTAATGAATTCATACTTACACCAATGAAAATGAAAACATCGTCATCAACAGACAAAAACTACTATCACCCGAAGTCTGTTTCTAAAGATTCGTCTAATCAGTTTAGAAGATCGTCTGCATATCTTCAGCACCATTATCAACAGTCACGTGATTCTCATCAACATTTGCATGATGATCAAGGAAGTCGGGATAAATTACATGGAAAATGTGAATCGACTATTGAAAAGGTCACTACACATACTACAACTAATGCAGATCAACATGATTTTCGTAGTAATAAGTTGTTAGTATCGAATAATAAATTGGAAAAGACATTAGGGTGTAATAAAATTGATGATGTTTTAAGTTCTATTAATTATGAACGCCAAAAGTCTACTACTACCACGACGAATTCTTCAAGAAGATCGGCTCGATTTCTAGATAATCCTGTTGAACAAGTTCACAGTGTACCACAACAACAACGACGACCTAAATCTGCACAACATTGTCAAAAAGGAAATGATTGTTGTTGTTATAATGCTCGATCATTGCATTCTCAGAACTTACAAGTATGTATCCCAATTTCTGTTCATGATTATCCCTTTACTGTATTATATATGTATTTTGATATAAACTATTCATAAGATCAGCTGCTCTCAATTATTGAGTATCTGATCAACCCCTTATGATATTTTATTTGGTATTTTGTAGATTCTGCCGTGATAATATCTTGCAAATCAGGTTAATGTGCATTCTTATATCGTAACAACTGAAGGAGAGATAAAGTTTTAAGTTCCTATCTGACACTATTCATTATTGATGTGAAAATTGTATATTTTTTAGTTGCTACCTTAAAATTTAATTCATACTTTAAGTGGTCTTATTTTTAATAATTTCTCGATGTAGATGGCTTTTGTTCATAGTTGAATAATCAGTATTAATTCAAGTGCCCTGGCACGGCCGAGGGTGGGGAGAGTTCACTCTCCCTCTCCAAATGCTATCTCATGGCCACGTGCATACAACCACTACCAGGGAAGTCCTTCTCACTGTTGTTTGCGAAATTGAGAGGACAAAAAACGAATGTTCGACTCTTCAACCGGGTTGGTGAACACAGGGAGTTGGAAAACCCTGATTCCAAACAAATCATGCACATGAGCTGGCTCCAGGATCCTGAAGGAACAAATTGCATATGAACCAATTATTGGTTACCAGTCACAATGGGACTGTGTCTCCTGACGTTGCTCCATTGCCTTGTGGACTAGATCTTTAGGTCAAGGGCTCCTGGTGTAAAGACCCATGGGAAATTTACCTGTTTCGGTTTGGGCACTCAGGCAGTATCCTAGCCCTCACACAAATCGAATGATTTATTTGGCGCATATCTATTTGATGTCTCCTTGTACCAATGTTTATGTGTTCAAATAGATAAATACATCAATGAAATTTGAACTTGTTTCTCTACCAGTAAAATATCAGGTTACGAAATCTACTCTCATTTTCCAACTGTTAGATATTCTTATAAACTGTCAACATTATGGCTTGATTGTGAAGATATTCGTTTCTCTAGGGTTAATAATTTCTTGTTAATCAATTTGAATTTGGTGGTAAACTCAGAAACTTTGTTGTATTTTTTTTAAAATCTACAGCGACCGGTATCAACTATTACGCAGAGACAAAAACAAGATCCAGTTACAAAATATCATTCATATCAACGAAGCTGGTCGATACATTCTACACCCGGTGAAAATGCACGACGTGTTCTACGTTGGAATATAAGAACAGCAATGATGCATAGAGAAATACCATTGTTACAACGTAACTCCTCGGAAGTTATTCGCCTCTTAGGTCCATATGCATCAGCTTATTTGGAGCAAGAAAGACAGAGACGAATTAAAGCTTTACAGGTATGTTTAGTGTTTTTACTACTATCAAACGAGGCAATATAACTTTATGCTCTTCCTTACCTATACTGCATAACTAATCAACTAACTGTTTTCAACTTCATTCCACTCGGTGCAATTAAGAAAAATGTACTGAACTGTAGATATATTCTAAAACTAAATTTCAGATTGCTATGTTTGAAGTGATTACGAGTTCACCTAGTCTGCGAACGAAACAAAGACTCTGTGACCAAAGACCAATAAGCTAGCTATTCTGATGCTTCCCAGCCCCGCTAACTACAAAGAGAAGTCCAAGTTCGAGAACGAGGAAATATATTCTGCAAGCAGCCAGAAGCACGAGCAATAATAACAGGCACAAATCAAAAGTATATATATATATATATATATATATATATATATATATATATATATATACAGCATAAAATTGTCCTTGGGAAACGTTACAAAATGACATACTAAAAGATACAATGAACCAATAGTGTTTAAAATTCTCCCAAGTGGGTATTACAACATGAAGGTTAGAAATTAGTGCTTCTGAATAGACAATTGTATCAGTGTGGTAATGTGGTATGGCAACTTGAACTGATGTACGTACGTACGTACGTACGAAGTTCTAGGTTGTTACTGACTGACTGAACCATGTTGATAGATGCAGACTACTTGGTTGGTGTCCGCGTGACTATCGTAACCAATGGTTGGGACTCTGAATGACGTGACTCAGAATCGATCACAATGGTGTCGGTTTATACATTCTGTCTCCCCTTAAACTATGAGATTAAAATTGCTTTATATATTTCTTTCTACCAACTAATTTTTTCTTCCTGTACTATATGCTTATATACAATCCTTATTTTATATATTACTACCATTGTATTAACTACTTCTATCAATCCGGTGTTCATGTTGTTGTGCTAATGCGGTATGGCAACTTGGACCGATGCATATATATGCCTGGTCCTACGTTGTAGCTGATTTACTGATTGACTGACCTAGGGGAGTTGGAAAACCCTGATTCCAAACCAATGATACACATGAGCTCGCTCCAAGATCATGAGGGAACAAATGGTGTATGAACTAAATATTAGTTACCGGTTACCATGAAATTTCATCTCCGAACCTTACTCCACTATTTTATGAATCGGATCATTAGGTCGAAGGCTCCAATGTGACTCTTCAATAAAATCACCTACTTCAGTCTGGGCATCAGAACAGTATCTCACACCCGCACACAATTTTATTCATTTACTAATATTTGATAAATATCATCTTAATTATATGTTTATTACATATTTTTTTTCTTTATCTTTCTGTTCATAGCTTGATTATATTCCACCAACTAGTAGACGTTATGATGAATTACGTCAAATTATTCGTTCATTAATGGAATAAATTTAATGAAAGTTATATATCAATCAATTAACTGAATAATAAAATTATTCTATTCATTGTATAATCTCATTGAATAGTTTACTTTTGGCAATATACTTCATCTATCTATCTATCTATATATCTTTATAAAGAGGAACTCTCATTCAAGAAGGATTGATATCTTCTTTTTTTTTCACTTGAAAATGGTCATATATCGAATATAATATATAAATCGTATTTACTTTCTATTAACCGGTGTTATCATTATCATTCCATTGATGTAATTGTTTAATAAACAATCTATTTCACTTTTTTGTTTTCATCAGTCGTTGTTGAACTATGTTCTTTTTTTGTTGTTGTTGTTGTTGTTGTGCTTTTGTTTAGATACCATTATCATGTATCTTATATGATGAAATTGAATGTGAAATGAGAAAGATCGTTGGAAGTTCTCGTATTGTCGTTGTTGTTGTTTGTTAATATTGATATTGTATTGTAGTTTTTTTCTTTTTCTTTTTTTGTTTCTTAGTTTTCTTTTTTTTGGTGTGTATGTTTCATGAAAAGGTTTTTTTTATAGTTTAACTTTATAATTTTCATTAGTAGATCATTTCAATGTTTACTTCTTAACCGTTCAATCAATCAGCTACAATGTAGGATCAGGCACATATGTACATCGGTCCAAGTTGCCATAACTGATTAGTACAACAAGATGAACACCAGATTCATAGAAGTAATTACGTTGATGTATTTGTTGGACTTACATATCGTGATTAACTAACCGAGGTTTATTGACTAGAACATTTTGTTCCTTTTGCTTTGACTATCTCATTTAGGTTGGTTGGAGAGTAATAAAAGACCTAAAGTGCCAAACTTGTGGTTTGTGAGTTCCCTCTTCAATTATACGGTAACGTTTCCAGTTTGTCAAAATCACTCCTAAGCTAGTTTCATTTTCATTTCTTTTTCACGATATTGTCAATTGAAAAATGGAAACCATCTACTCACCTCAAATCTGTACGTATATCAATATTTCAGTATGCTAAAAGAGCTTTGAAAGACGTTTTCTCCTAGAGAGGACGGTTAAAAACCAGATCAATATAATAAACTATTATGTTTTAAATTAAAACGTCAAGAGATTACACTATTAACTTTATGTGGAACTGAATTTAGTACCTTTAAGCTTTGTTGTACGCACGATACTTTGACATCATACCCACAGGTTACGATACAATAAAACAGTCATTGATGATATTTTGCACATTCGACATTTGTGAAACTCATCGGTTATTAGTCTTTATCAGAACTTTATCATTAGATAGCAATTTTAAAGGGCTTGAAAGTATTACACTCGTTGTATGATCTGAAGGTTCTATGTTAAACAATACGTGGCAAGAGATGTTCAGATTATGAGGACACGTGTTACGTATGCCCAAACACCGACTGCCCCGACGTGTGGTGTATTATGGTGTAGGGGTAGGTTGGAAGAAAGCCAGAGGCGGCCAGAACAAAACATGGCACAAATCCATGAAGATACTGACAAGTGGACTGAGCCATGTTGTTAGGTGTAGGCTACCTGGTTGGGATCCGCGAGATGATAATAACAACCGATGGTTAGAGACCTTGAACGACATGGCTCATAATCGTTTGCAATGGTGTGCGCAGATGCATCCACTCTTTGTGTTCACCTAAATTCTATTCTTCTGAATTCTTCATGTCCCTTTTTCTCTCTTTCTAAATTTATTTCACTGAATTATACACCTTGAATAACATCTTCAAACCCTAATCTTTCCGATCACTGCTTATACTTTTACTACCTCTACCACTATGGGATTTGAATAGACAATTGTTTCAGTGTGATAATGTGGTACGGAAACCCGAAGTGATTTACGTACGTACGAAGTTCTACGTTGTTGCAGATTGACTGACTGACCATAGATCAGTAATATATCAGTTGTCCTATGTTAAAAAACTTTGCAACTTAACTAAGTACATAGCGTATGAACAGTTACTTTAACGCTTTTGTTAGTGGTAAACTTTTACTATTGTGTCAATGCGGTTTACTGTTTGGCGTTTATGTTGTCTTTGTTCAGTATGTGGATAATATACGTTAATCTTTAGAATTATCGATATGTCTCTGTTTATGTTGATCTTATCGTCCTGATTATATTAGGACATAAAGCGAATGTGTATTAATCCACGTTGACACCACATTGCACTTCAGCACAATAGCAGTGGAAATTATAACATGATGAATAATATAGCTGAAGAATAAATATTTAATAGAAATGGGAATTTTAATAGTTGAGATCATGAGTCCATTTGAGGCTAGACCACCATGGAAAACCTATAAGCACTGGATGGTCTTTTCGTCTTATTGTAGAACTCCTCTGTGGCAGTACGCACATCCACAACCCCGCCTCGTGGGATTCGAACCAAGGGCCTATCAGTCTCGTGCACGAGCACTTAACCACTAGGTCGGGAATATTGTTGAAAAAATAAACGAATAAAAATAAATCAGTGAAAGATGACGTGTAGAATTCATCATTTAGAAGAAGAAGAAGAAATAGCGGATAGATCTAAATACTCTACGATGAATATCACACAACATCTTCAACCATATATAATGACCTTTTATTGAGCAACAATGACAACAATATATGATGATTAGATGATTGTTTATTGATTATCTATTATTATCCAAATCATTAATAAACTTAACTTTTTAATGAAACAATAGATGATGTTATATCTGATATTTAATAATATAAAATAATTGTGAAATATCAATGTCCTTCGTTTCTTTTTTTTTTCATTAGAAAATTTATCTTACTAACTAATGATTTAAGTAGTTTTCACCGGATATCGAATTTTTAGAAAGGAATCATTATTGATCAATAGTTATGTTGTATTCATATGAATTTAGAGTATAATATCATATGAAAGGATAGAGAAATGAGGAATGGAAGGTTACAATTACATAGATATAAGCTTCAATCATTCATAGAATCTTTCAATTGTATTTCACATATATAATATAATATGAAATTGACCAATAAAAAGTTAATGTACATGAAAGGGAAAACTATAGGTTCCATGTTTATTAGAAATGATTGAAATGAAATGATAAATCTTTTTTTTTTCTTAGAAACAAGTATAAAATAATAAATCCGGTATTAATCCTCTATCAACACTACCATTTTCTAAACCATCCCAACTATCATGAAAATTAAATATAACCATTTCATTATTACCTAATAAATGAGTATTCTCATTGAATTTATTTGTTTCTAATCGTTTCTTTCGAATGTTAGATAACGACAATGTTGGTGGTGTTGGTGTTGATGATGATGATGTTGATGATTTCTTATTCATATTTGTTAGTGTTTCATTATTATTTCGTTTATTTAACGTTTCTTCCGATGGACAATGTATCATAATTTCAGTTCCACCATAAAAACCAATATATGATGTTGATGAATTAATTGCTGTAGATGATGTAGACATTGATGCTGGATTATGATGATCAGAATTTGATGTGCTTAAACTTAAATAATATCGTCTGTTTTTAACCAACTGTAAATGGATTTGGTTTTGAAAAAACAACAAACAAGAAAAAGATAGAATCTATCAATGCTAGTGAAATAGTTTCTTAATGAGTTTACATTTAAATAGTTGTGATCATGAATCAATGAAATCTAGGCCATCATGATAAACGTGGAAACCGTGACCAGTGGAGTATAACCAGGTCAGTTATGAGATAATCACTCACTGAAGAGAATAATGGACGGTGGCACAACTTTATGTATTGGTTGAAATTAGACATGAACATCATTGGATGCCAGCTTAATGGTCTAGAAGTTAAGTGTTCACACGTAAGACTGTTAGAGATCCTCAATTCGAATCTCATGAGGCGCGATCATGGATGCATACTGATGAGCAGTCCCTTACTAGGTCGAAATAGCCATCCAATGTTTCCAGGTATTCGATCATGGTCTAGCTTCAATTGACTCATAAATGTTTTATTATCTAATCATTTAATTACATCTCTCTCTATAGACACTTTTTATGATTCATTTTGATTCACTAAACATAAGCAATTAAGTTTGATGGATAGACAAATTTGTTTATGTGTGACTAGATTTGTACACATTTCTAATGGATATCTGCTTACAACAAAATGCAACACAACCATTGGTTCTCTGCTCTTTTGTTTGTTTGTTTGTCGTTCCGTTAGAAACAAAAAAGGTACTTGAATGTAATTTAAACAAAAACGAAAAATAAATAAATAAACACCTCGACAGATTTAATGTTCTTGAAGCTGGATCACATATTGAACAATTGAATGAATGAATTTGTGTGTGTGAACGTGTGTGTGATGTATTGTGAATTCGAGATATGAAATTGATTTTTATTAATTTTAGATCACTTTTTTTTTCGAAGTAGTTACTCTGCCTATAATTAAAAGTTACCAGTTGTGTTTTACATCTGACCTCGACTAATCTTTGTTCATTTATTAAGTGGTGTGATGCAACTACTCACCAACATGAGATGGTATTGAAGATTTGTAGGTTGGATGGATGATTTTGATGAAGTTTTGTTCTCTGAGCTGAATAGTTTAGTTGTGGATCTTTCATCGTTCTTCTGAACGACATCATCATCACAGTTCATGTGAAATACTTAGAAATAATGTAAATATGTACATGGAATCTTGTTTGTGAAGGGATATATATGTATCTATATTGCTTTGATTGTTCTTCTGAATGACATCATCAGCAGAAACTTCAGATAGAAGTGAAGTGTTTGAGCTCCACGACCAAATCATTCAGCTTAGAGAACAAAACTCCAACAAAAACTCACCAACATGATTAATCAAAAGGATGCTGACTGAGTGGTTGAAAGTTTAAGCGTTCACTGAGAGATTCGAAGATATTGGGTAAGATTACTGGAACGTCGTGTCTGTGTGTGTACACTATTGAGAAGTTTCATAATAGGATGAAATGGCTATTCGACACCTCCAAGTTTTCAAAGTTTCTTTAAGACCAATCTGTGAATTAGACAATGAATTCATGATTATCATCCATAATCATACACTTTTGTCGTATCCCTCCATTATTGTTCAGAATAGATAAAGCATTAGATGAACAAATGTTGCCTGTTTTGACTGTAGTTCTCCCCACACTCCCATTTTATAGTAATACATATCACACTTGAATATTATATCTGCAGATTAGTGATATATAACTCGGTTAGACAATCCATAACTCTTCTATTTGTGTATATCGTGTTGATATTAAACGTACCTATACCCACTGTCACTCTTTCTATGTTACCCAGAATATACGGATCAATAATCGTAGTTTGTGATTTAGATATCATCATCACCAACTTCCACTTCTTTTTTTATAGTGTCCTGTCTGAAGTCTGATTCCTCTGTAATTAGTAAACACCTTTCTTTACGAAAAGATGGTACACTAAAAATTATAAGATTCTGTATGAGACTTTTGACTTTACCATCAGAGACATTTTCTGAAGAAATCAAATTTGATAGATGAATTCATTAGTCAATTAAAGCTTGACCACCATGAAAAACGTGTAATCACTAGACGGCCGTTTTGTCCCAGTATGGGACTTTTCAATGGTACTGCACATGCTTGAACCCGCCTCATGAAATACGAGCGTGCGAACGCTTAACCTCTAGACCAATGAGCCGACATCCGATGGTGTTAATGTCTAACTTCAACTAATCCACAAAATTGAGCGACACATCCATAATGGTCTAGTTTCAATTGGCTCATGATCTCAACTATTTAAAAAAAAAGAAGATTTTACTTAATTCATAAAAGAAACTTATTTCTAAATGAAACATTTAATAGTTTTGATGAATATCACATTACCTTTACTGGACATCGAAATCGTATATCATAAACACGATTAGTTCCATCAGATCTTAATGAAATTTGTTTACTAGCAAGACATTTTGTTGGACATTTTTTATTAAAATGATTTGATGAATGAATTGGAATATTTGATGAATCACCTTCATCTAATCTTGATAATCCTGTAATATCCCAAATATTTAAATTACCTCCACGATTGGTATTATTATTATTAGTATTACTATTGTTATGAAATAAACGTGTAGATACATTCAAATTAGTTAAATCACTTGTACTTCTAGATGCTTGTGAAAGATACATTCGATCTGATAATTGATTTACATTTGGTGTTATATTAGCTGGTGATGGTAGAGGTGTACTTGCATTTCCTGTTTTTAATTCAACATGAACTGTACGAATATCACCAACTTGTGTTGAACCATAAATTCCAACACCAGCAATAAATATAGATGCAGATACCTGGAATGTAGAAAAAAAAATGTAAAGAGAATTAATTAGGATACGTTTGTGGATATTCTACAAATTGAAATAGTATTAGTCTATTTTCTCTGAAAGATAAAATGTCATTACTTAGTACGGAGAATTTCAGTCGCGATCGGACAACTAAAATTGATGCTCATCTGCAACAGAGTTTAAGTTATGCCCCTAAAGGCCTTGGTACGGCGGAGGGTAGTTACAGTTAGTTCTCCTTCTCCAAGTGCCCTCACAAGGCCACATGCATACAACCAGTACCACGGAAGTCAAACTCACTGCCTTCTCGCGGCATTACTGTTTATGAAATTGAGAGAACGAAAAACGAATGTTCGGCGCTCCGACCGTGTTGGTAGACACAGAGTGTCCACACAGATGAGTTGGAAAACTCTGATTCTAAACCAATGGTACACATGGATTGGCTCTGGGATCCTGAGGGAACAAATGGTGTATGGACCTATTGTTCGTCAACGACTACCATGGGACTGCATCTCTTGACGTTGCTTCACTGTCTTGTGGATCAGATCTTTAGGTCGAATGCTCCGGGTGTAACTCCCTAAGAAAGCAAGCCACTTCGGTTTGGGCACCCAGGCAGTATCACACTTAACCTCTAGACCACTGAGCCGGCATCTAACAGTGTTAATGTCTAACGTCAAACAATCCACGAAATCGCGCGACCATCTTCCATAACAGGACGAACTGGCCGTTCACTGCTTCCAGGTTTTTAATAATGCTCTAATATCGATCGATTCATGATCTCAAAGAAAAGCTTAGTAATCTTCACAACCCCATACTGATAACTATGACAAGAAATTATTATTCTTAAGTAGTTAGGTTGAGTCTATGTTTCCATGTTTTGTATGTACTCTCCATATTGTTAATTATTTATTACTGGTCTAATGAAAGCCTCCATATCCTGATAACTGACATGTTTGAATTCGATACTTGGAGGAGGGTGTGTAGGTCCTGTCAGAAATCCCATACAGGTACTAGACAACTTTCTAGTATTAGGTGAATTTCAATGGCTTCTAGGTCGTGATGAAAATCATACAAAATACTACATATTATTGCTTATATTCTACTTTTAACTAAATATGAGAGTATTATGTTAAATATATTGCTTCATTCTAAATAAAAAAAAAACTTCATTTATTATTTGATAAATTAATGAACATCAAGAAGTGTTGCTGATTAATCTGTAGACTATTTAATTGACAGTACTATCTAACATTAGACTTTCATTTCGATTATAGCGAACGAGAACATAAATGGGGTACAAACAATTATATTCGAACGCACACATTACAGAATATATTAGTAAAATGTAAGGCCCATATAGTAAATACTTCAATTGCAAAATGTCAGTCAATCGTCTCAGATTTCATTGTTCTTTCGTTTTCACACCAATCATTCTTTATTCTCGTTCACTTCGATCTTATGAACCTTCCGCTTCAGGCTATTTCACTTTCGATTGATGGTGATATATACAACTTATATCCGTCGACATCAGTAGCACACATCATTATCATTACCATTTAAAAAGACTTGAGTACTGTTAGAGGTATGAGGGCGGTTATCACTTCCCAGTCGTCCACATCGTGGAAAGGTTCTTCTGGAGGTACCGGAAAACCATATTGGATTAAAGGTGGTCTTAGTGGCCTGAGAGTGTGACCGCAGTAACCGAGGTATAACTGATTGAGGTCGGTCACACACAACCCTTTTGTGGGTAATTTTTGTGTTACCTCCGTACTTGTTGGGACTTTATCACCAGAGACGGATATTCGTGAGATAAGATGAAGTGTGCATTTTTAGGGTCGTCCGTTTCTAATCCCACACTTCCTTCTGCGAAGGTAGGGTCGCTGATATGATGGTTGTCTGAAGGAAACACTTTACTGCCCTCACACCTCTGTACACTCAGCAGTATGACTTCACCTTCAGACCTAAGGTTTGTTGCGTTAGTCTTATTGTTCTTCAACCGACCTATATGGCATTGTAGAACCTTGAGGAACGATTGTTCCAGCGAGTTTAGTTCGACTGGCTCATCACGTTAGGTAAACCCGACCACCATGTCAACGTAGCAACAACGGTCGAGGCGACTAAAGACTAGTAATTCTCAACTAAGTTCTATGGTCTTATCATACATATGAATTATAGTTACTATATCAGTTTACTCATTAATCTTACACGTGAAATACATTCATTAGTTAAAGTATAAAAAAAACCCCATCTGATTATCAGATGATTAGTTCATTCCATTAATCAAACAATTCAAAAGGTCAATATATCATATTATATTGTAATACAATATCATAATGAAAAGAATGAAAAGAAGAACCTACAGAGAAACTAATTGTATGCCGATGATTATTTGATGTATTTAATGATAATAAATCTTTTCGAATACGTTTAAAACGACAACATCTCCATAATTTTGGTCCTATTCTTGGTTCACATGGAAATGGTCCAGAATCTGGTAATGAATTTGTTATTAATTGTAATGATGATTGATTAGTTAATTGTATTGATGTAGATACAGATGAATTTGTTAATTTCATTTCATTTTCTGTCAATTCAATAGAATTTTCATTTTTTTAGTTGCTAATGAATTTGATCGACGTGTTGTTGATAATGTATTATCTTTTTTTTGTATATTCAATTTATTTGTTGTAATGTATACAAATAAATCACGTACCTAAGTAATTCAATTGTTAAGAAAGTGTTATGATAAACTTGGGCAAAAAAAAACAATTTTCAGTATAGGGATTATGAAGATTATTAAGTTTTTAATTGAGATCATGAACTGATGGATGTTAGACCACCATTGGAAACTTGTAAGCACTGGATAGCCACCTCGTCCTATTGTGGGACTCCTCAAAGGCAATGCGCATCCACGATGCCGCTTGGGCAATGTGCTCACTGGTGACTAGCTTCGTCAAGGAATTTTCGGAGTTCTAATGAGAAGTCGTGACTAGTGGGGCTAATGCATATCAAGCAGAGACAATTATCTACCTCAGTACAATGGACGTTGATCGCGCAATTTCGCGGATTAGTTGAGGTTAAACATTAACACCACTGGATACCGGCTCAGTGGTCTAGAGGTTAAGCTTTCGTGTGCTAGACTGAAAATCACGGGTTCGAATCCTTCGAGCAGGATCATGAATACATACTGCTAACGGTCCCGTAATAGGATGAAACGGCCGTCCAGTGCTTCCAGGTTTTCAATGATGACCCAACAGTTGTTCGGTTCATGATCTCGACCAAAAAGTAGTTCGTCATTACAAAGAATCATAATATGAACAAAGCTGAATATTGGCATAAATTGTTGCCAATGATTGAAGATTATGTTTAAGGTGTTTCATTGATTAAGGCGATGAATTCGAGTTAGCAACAAAGTCTGAATTCTATATACTATGGAAATTAAGTAGAGCGGTTGATATGCTTAAAATAGAAATAGTTTCAAGTGCTTTATTTATATCGTTAGCTTGGAACATCAATAATGGAAAACTGTAATAAATAAGTGTTAGCGGGATACAGATTGGATTAAAGAATGCTCCATGCACAATTGCGTTAGTGACGCTGACTGGCTAATTCTAATCCAATCAGCGCTAGCCTATACTGTAGAGTCTAGAACTATAAATTTACTAATGTTTTTCTTATTGTGCTACTTACTTCCATCTATCCCTCGTTATTTGAATATAGTTCTGTTCCTGTTCAACCGTGTTTTGATTTGGGGATTTGTCAAGTGAATTGGTCTTTAAGAATACTGAGCAATAGGAATATCTAGGTTGTAATAAAGAGAATTATTACAGTGGCGACGTGGATGAGATTCGAACCCACGTGGGAAAACCCCAATGGATTAACATCTAAGAAGACGGCTAAAACACCCCCAGCCTTCGACCTAAAGATCTGATGTATAAGGCAGTGAAGCATCGCAAAGAGATGCAGTCGCATGGTAGCCAGAGACAAAACAATAGGTTCATTCACCATTTATTCCTTCACGATCCTGGAGCCAGCCCATATGTACCATTGATTTGGAATCAGGGTTTTCCAACTCACCTTGGTGGACACGAATAGTTCACCAATCCGGTCGTAGCGCCGAGAATTCGCTTTTCCTCCTCAGTTTCGTAAGCAACACCCCTGCTGTGAGAAAGCAGCGAACAGGACTTCCCTGACAGTAGTTGTATGCACGTGGCCATGTGCGAGCACTTGGAGAGGGAGAGTTTACTCTCTCCACTCTCGACCGTAGCAAGGCATTTGGGAAGTATGTAGTCATTTGAACTATAAACTTTCATTATTAAAAAGATGGATGGCGGCTAGCAGTGAAATCTACGACGAGCTTTTCGTCCTATTTGGGACTTGTCAGCTGGATGTACCTGCATCTCAGAATCCCTCAGTGAACATCAATTCTGATATGCAGGTACATCCAGCTGATGAATTGCAAATAGGATGAAACGCACTTCCTTGATTTCACTGCCAGGCACTATCCATCTTTTCTTATAAAACTCTAGAATTGTTTACAAACATTATTTTCTTATTACCGACTGAGTCAGATAAAGTCCTCTCTATCTAAAAATGTTTTGTCAAGTCATATATTCATAGACTCTTTGAAGTAAGTTCTAATAATTACCTTTACACATGTGCGAGCGAAACAACAGGTGAACGTGGCTGAAGTAAGATTGTTACTCTACTAAGACATGAAAAGCATAATTTCATCAAACGAGAGGTTCATATGAGCTCAACGAACAAATTTATACTGATTTCCTGGCTAACATAAGAAAGAACCTTATTAATTGCTCCACTCTCTTAAAGATCAAACTTTGATATCAAGGGTTTGTAAAGTGATCCCTTAAGAAAACTACTCAGTTTGTTTTTACTCTATGGATGATGTATTCGAGTGTAGATGCAAATTCATATCTCCTAAAGACAATGTACATTCAACACATTTCATAATAGAATTGAATACAATAGAATTGAAGTATATTAAACATAATCATAAATAACTTACCATTTCTAATGAAAGATAACCTGAATAAGCAACATTTTCAGCAAAATCACTTAATGTCATTGTTGGAAATCTAATTAATGGTAATATATTTGCTGCAACTTGTACTCTATTAGAAACAACATCTCTTATACCTAAACGATTACATTCAGCTCCTGCCCAACGTCCAACAGCAGCAAATACTTCAGATTCTTGACAATTTAATGTATTACGACTAACTAAATCATGTACACAATTTGAATTTAATGTTAATAAACCTTGTGATATTAATACATCTGGTGCCTAAAATATAAAACAAAAAATCAGGTTAAATGGGTTATAAATATTTAGAAATAATAATAATAATAATTCATAGTGATTACCGCTTATACTTTTACTACCTGTATCACCATGGGGTTTGAATCGATAATTGTATCTCAGTGTTAGTGGTACGAAGTTCTACGTTGTTGACTGACTGACTGACTGATATCAAAGGTTGTGGAAAGATCAATAGTCTATTCGTTTTTTGTAGGTGACCGATTGCAGTTTGGGAACTATTGAATGTCACAGAGTACTGTATGTTTCAGTGGTTGAAATCATGAGTCAATTGAAGCTAGACCACCATGGAAAACCTGAAAGCACTGGACGGCTGTTTCATCCTAGTATGACTCATGATTTCAACCAGTGAAATTTCTAAAATTCTCCGCAAAACCCATTCTGATAATACTGTACGTTTGTTTAATCTAATTGAGAGATTCTTAAACAGTACACATAAAAGAGCATCAACAGAGATACAATTCATGACGTACGAATGTTATGGCTCCCTAGTTACTTTCAGATCCATGAGTTGGAATTTATTGTTTCTAAGTAAAACTATCTCACATCAACTTGGCGCCTGAATATTGTGAAAACTATTCGATCAAATTTAAACGAAAATCCTTCTTCATTAAGTTATTTAATAAATTTCATTTTATTTTCGAGAAAAAGAAAACCTACAATTTAATTGGTTATCAGAAGGGGTTTTGTGGAGATTTTTAGTAATTTCAATAGTTGAAATCATGAGTCAATTGAAGCTAGACCACTATGGAAAACTTGGAAGCACTAGACGGCCGTTTCGTCCTAGTATGGGACTCCTCAATAGTGCGTATTCATGATCCCGCTCCCCCCGCGGGATTCAAATCCAGGTTATCTTGTTTATCATAAAATTAGGATACTTTCATTATACCCATCCAATATAAACCTGCAATACAGTAGATGATTATGTTACTAAAAATAAATCAATGTCCACTAATCTTTGGTTGTTTGTTTGTTTGTTTTTATAGTTACTTAATCTATATTCAGTTAATAATGTAAACTTCTCTGAAGTTTCTTTATGTAATAAACAGTTTAAAGTTTAATAGTTAAGTTCATGAATCAACTGAAGCTAGATCATCATGAAAAACCTGGAAGTACCGAGTGACCGTTTCGTCTTAGTGTGGGACTCCTCAGCAGTACTCATCTGTTTTCCATGGTGATCTAGCTGTAACTGACTCATGAACTCAACTAATAAAAAGTACTAAAATATTCACGAAAACCCCTTTCTGAGTTTGAAGCTTAATAATGCTTTTTCTTTCATTTTCTTCTTTTTATTTAAAAAAAATAGCAACTAAGCCGACAATAAATGGATGAATTATCTTCAGTTTTGATTGAGATCATGAACCGACTGATGTTAGACCACCATTGAAAACCTGTAAGCACTGGGCGGCCGTTTCGTCCTGTTCTGGTGAGAAGCCGTGATCAGTGCAGTTAATCCGTGTTTGCTAGAAACAGGTGTCTACGTCAGTACAATGGAAATCGTTCACGGGAATTCGTGAATTGGTTGAAGTTAGACATTAACACCATTGGATGCCGGCTCATTGGTCCAGTTGGTTAAGGTCCTGGGTTCGCATCCCGCCGGCGGGATCGTGGATGCACACTGCTGAGGAGTCTCACAATAAGACGAAGTGGCCATCCAATACCTCCAGGTTTTCAATAGTGGTCTAACATCAATCGATTCATGATCTCAATCAAAAACTTAACAATCTCCACCACCCCTAAACTGTTATCTTCTGTTTCTTTATTATAAATTAATCAAACAAGGGTATTTGCCAATGTAGGTTAATTTTAGAGAAAAAAATTGTTTTCTTTACTTTAATAAAACGTATATTCATTACTAACCATAACTGATTGGTTTCATAGATGTTACACAATTAAATGGTCTTCTAGATATTACATAATTCTTTTTTGTAAATTTTTTTGATGGGTCACATGCCAAAATGAAGCATGTGGTATTAATAGAACAAAAAAGAACAAACATACATACAAAATTTCAATAGTTATGATCATGAGTTTATTGAAGCTAGATCACCATGGAAAATCTGGGAAGCGCTAGACGGCCGTTTCATCCTATTGTGGAACTCCTCAGTGATAGCGTGGATTCGTGACATTGCATCGAGAGATTCGAAACCAGGACCTACTGGTTTCGCGCACGAGCACTTAACCACTAGACCAATGAGCCAATGTGTCTAACTTCAACTAATCCACAAAATTGAGCGACACATCCACCATTGTCTTCAGTGAGTTACTATCTCACAACAGACCTGGTTGAACTACACTGGTCAATACTTCTCACTAGAACTCCAGGATATACCTCGTGAAGTCAGTCACTGGTGAACATATGTTGATTAATATCAGGAGTTTTGTGAATATTATAGTGATTTCAATAGTTATTATCATGAGTCAATTGAAGCTAGACCACTATGGAAAATCTGGGAAGCGCTAGATAGCCGTTTCATCGTATTGTAGGACTCCTCAGTGGTAGTGTGCATTCACTATACCGCCTCGAGAGATTCGAACCTAAGATCTATCAGTCTCATACAGAAGACAAGGTTTAGTAAATTTAATGTTCTCTGTTGAAAATCATTATTGTTATTAGTTTTAATACATTTTTTTAGATTCTATACATTTATTCAAGTGTACTGTAAATACGTAATTGATGCGTTTCAATAATAGATACGTTTAAATGGAACTCAAAACAGCTGTCAACCAACATCAAAGTGAAAATCTTCAATATGAATGTCAAGACAGTTCTATTGTGTGAAGCTGAAACTTGAAGAACTACTAAGATCATCATCAAAATAGTACAAGTATTTATAAACAGTTGTCTAAAGAGGATCCGCTAGCCGGATACCATCAACAACAACAACAACAACAACAACAGCAACCTACTATAGGAGAGAACAAACCATCTTCCGGATGAAAAAGAAATTAGGAAAAGACGTTAGAAATCGTCAAAATTTATCATGTGGCAAGTGCTAACTTGGAATCCTGAAGGTGAACAAAAAGGAAGGAAGACTACACAACACACTACGTCGAGAATCGGGAGCAGATATGAAAAGGATGAATGGTAACTGGAAACAATTGGAAAGGATAACTAAGGACAGAATTCGATAGAGAATGCTGGTAGGTGACCTATACTCTTCCACGAGAGTTAACAGGCGTAATTAAACATTTGAACTGTTGTTGCTAAGTTGACTTGATGGTTGGGTTTACCTATTATGATGAACTAATCGAGTTATAATGGCTAGAACAATCGTTCCACAAGGTTATGCCATGCCAGATAAGTCGGTTGAAGAACGATGTAAATAAAAGCAGCACACCCAAGGTCCGAAGGTGAAGTCATACCGCTGAGTGTACAGAGGTGTGATGGCATTAAGGTGTTTCCTTCAGACAACCATCATAACAGCAATGGTGCCTTCGCACAAGGAAGTGTGGGATTAAAAACGGTCGACCCTAAAAATGCACACCTCATCTTATACGACGGATATCCGTCTCTGGTGATAAAGTCCCGAAAATTACGGAGGTAACATAAAAATTACCCACAATAGGTCGTGTGTGGCCGACCTCAATCAGTTATACCTCGGTTACTGCGGTCACACTCTCAGGTCACTTTGTATGATAAAGTTTTCATGATTTCACTTGGCCTATTTAATAGGCACATTACGTATTATAAAAAATTGTTAACAATCGTTTGATTCATTAATTTCTGTATTAACTTTCTGTTTCTAAGGTACAAATCAATGAATTACATATGTATTACTCAGATTTTCATTGAGTTATTGCCTTAATTAAGTATGTACTGAAACTTGTAAGTTATACTATTTTGTATTCTTGTGTGGATGCGCATCGCTGACGAGTTCCATAATAAAATGAAATGACCTTCCAGTGCTTCCAAATTTTCAATTGTGGTCTAACATCAGTCAATTCATGATCTCAATCGAAAACCTAATAATCTCCACAACCCAATACTGATAAACACCATGTGCTCACTAGTGACTAGCTTCGTGAGGGAATTCCCGAAGTTTTAGTGAGAAGCTGTGACCAGTGGAACTAATCCATGTCCAGTAGAGATAGGTGTCTACCTTAGTACAATGGAAGATGGTCGCGAAATTTCGTGGATTGGTTGAGGTCAGACATTAACACCGTTAGATGCCGACCCAGTGGTCTAGAAATTAAGCGTTCTTGCGCGATACCGAATGTTTTGGATTCATATCCTGCGAGCAGGATCGTGGATGAGCATTTCTGAGGAGTTCCATACTAAGGAGAAACAGCCATCAAGTGCTTCCAGGTTTTCAAGTGTGTTCTAACATCAATCAATTTATGATCTCAATCAACAACTTAACAATCTCTACAACCCCTAAACTGATAATCTAGAAAGGCACGATTCTTAACTAAAAAGATACTTATGATCATTCATATTATATTTTATGAATCCAAAATTATAATTTGAAGATCTGAGAAGTCATAAATTCCATTGACTATCTAGATAAATTGATTATCAGATTTGGGTCATAAAAACCTTAGATTTCCTGTATATAAACAGACCATTGGAGTAAAACGTTTCTTTCATATTTCTCACATTTTCTCTTGTGTTCAATTTGCTGTGTAGATTTAGCCTAAGGGTTACTAGAAGACAATATGTTACACAAGAAACATAGTCTATAGTTTACTATGTGATATCCATTGTAGATCATTTTCATGCTTCAATATTCCATTATACCAAATGGATAAAGAGCATAAAGTTTATCTCACATCAATACTTTTATCATTTGATTGATAGACATTGATCAATACTCTGTTCCATTAAACTAACATTGATTGATCATTATTCAGTAACGAATTATCAACCTAATGCAATGATCTAATTTTATCGATCAACTTGACTCATGTCTCTTGAGATTATACATACACCTTACTTAATGACTACTATTTCTAAGGGATTTTTGAAGATTTCATTCAGCTACCTGAACACTATCGATTCGTCAAGACTCTTATTCCGATTATGGTTTGACCGACAGAATCAAGGAATACACAAATATGACATTCCTATTCCTCATGAATTAGTCAGCGTGTAATATATAAGGCCTATAAGAAATCACTTGCGTAACGAATAACTCGATGCTATGTTCATGTCTTATTTGAAAGTTTAATCCTTACATGACTGGAAGTGTATCCGTTATCTCGACATGAAAGTACAAAGTTGATTACAGGTTATCTTTAACGAAATATCAAAGACTATTTTGCATACGGATTGATCATTCATAATTGTAAATATAAGAAATAGACTTATTACAAATGACATTAGATGAATTTTCAAACAAAATCAAACAAACGTTTCAATTATTACAATAATAATAATAGAATTCTTACCAAAACATCGATTACATGCCAACATCGACGAGTTAGATCAATTTCATCAAAAAATATACTACGATCAAGCATCATACAAACATTTTCAGCTGTAATTAAATCCTGTATGTTAATAAAAATAAGTTAAAGAAAGCAAAAGAAATTAGTTTATTGCACATTTTTAGTTTACGAAATTTGAAGGGATGAAAACTGAATGTCCGGCACTTTAGTCGGGTTGATGGACACGAGGAGTCCATCCAGATGAGTTGGAAAACTCTGATTACAAAGCTGTGGTGCACATGAGCTGATTCCAAGATCCTGAGGGAATAAACGGTGTATGAACCTATTTTTGGGTACCGGCTATCACGAGACTGCGTCTCCTAACGTTGGTCCACTGCCTTGTGGATTAGACCTTTACGTCGAAGACTCGAGGTGTAGCCCCCATAAGTAAACTACCTGTTTCGGTTTGAGCACCCAGGCAGTATTCGAGTCCTCGCACAAATCGAATGATTTATGTGGTGCACATTTATTTGGTGTCTCTCTGTACCAATGTTTATATGTTTAAATAAATAAATTATGTGGAAGTAAAATTTATGAGCTTACAGAATTAGTATTCGCCTGTTCTACTATAAATGCTCAGTGAACTTTGATTCAAGTAGCCAAAATGTTTCATCTGGCTTTATGTATTAGGTATTGGTACAAAAATATGGACTTCACTAATGAGTAGGTATAAAACTCTAGCAGTTTCTAAAGACATTCTTCAGAAATATCCATACCAGTAGATCAATATTTTTTTCGGTTGAACTATACAGAAATCATTTCTAGTTATATTACATCAAAATAGTTATAATGTTTCTCTAAAATGGTTGTGCAGTATCGTGGTTTGGCTGAAGTTAGACATTTATCACCATTGGATATTGGCTCATTGGTCTAGAAGTTAACCGTTTGCGAATGAAATCCAAAGGCTCTAGGTTCAAGTCCTGTGTGTGAGATCGTGGATGTACACACTTGAAGAGTCCTATACTAAGACGAAATATCAGTTCAGGTTCCATCAGTGAAGTATCAGTTTCCGGAAGATTTCAAGTACTTCTTGTAATGAAGAAATATGCCGACTAACATAAAACCTAGATTCAAATTTCTCTATATAACTTACATTCAGTTATCAACATATCGTTAGCTTTTAGTTATATTATTAAGAAAAACAACAACAACAACAACAACAATGAATCCTTTTAAAAGATAACAAAATGAATAGACTTACTTTTAAGTATTCAACACAAATTTGTGTTAAACGTGGAAGGATATACTTTTTTGTTGCATACAATAAATAGAATAATAAATTGATATCATTCTCCACTAATAATTCATCACTATAGATATAAGATAGCATAATTTGAAATGCCTAAATTATTGAAAAAATAAGAAGAAAAACAATAAAAGGAGTCGGGTTGTGGCGGTGTTGGTGTTAGGATTATGCAATGAGTAAGGATAAATAATTCAAATGTAATTTCTATGATACAATAGACTAATTTATGGACGAACCAATCAGATTCAGGATGAGATGTCTTGGATTTTTGGCGCGAAATTCACCCATGCATTTGGTTAGAAAGCGTTTAGGGATTTTAACTGATAGATTCTGGGTAAGACTCTCTCGGGGGGGGGATCATGAATGCATAATGCTGAAGAGTTTCATATTAATTCGAAATGGCCGTCCAGTGCTTCCAGGTTTTCCATTGTGGATTAGCTTCAAATGACTCATGATTTTAACTGTTGAAATTTTAGCGGATGTTAATTCGTGATGAAAACCCGAAATCGAATTCCTAACCGTAACCATCAACTGTAAATCATAATCTTCACTGTTCATACTGCTTGATAACTATCATTTAGCCCTAGTAAGTAGGTGGATATTCCCAAAGTCATTTAGGTGCCGCTCAAAGGTCTTCCATAAATTATAGTCTCACCAAATAGTCCATTTTTCTTGAATAGTTGAATACTTAATTGACCAAGTGAATTTTTATTCGGTTAAACAAAGACAAAATGTTCGTATCACTGAACAATTTAAGTGGATCAATCAGTGTGTTGCTGTCATCAAATCACTACGCGTCCACATCGGGTTAGTGAATGTACATTGTTAAGAACTCCCGTACTATATGAAACAGGTTTTCTGGGTTATTAGTAGTGATTTAGCTAAAATCAGTTAGCTGAAGTGACCCCTTTTCAAGGAATTTATGATTAAGCTGTAACAATAACTCTTCTCACATTATAATCCGTTGATAACTCATTCATTTTCACAACTCCGTTTGTAGCTCTTCTACAGTTACTGCCAGTCTCAAGCCCAGATAAAGGAAGAGGTTTGGGCATAGGGTTAGCGACCCCATCCCGTAGAAAACTAACTCGTTAAAAAAACGCTAACGAGAAAAATTAATTAAAACCATTTAAACTCTGTCCTGGGAGTCAGGTCTTCATTTAGATGAGTTATTACACTTCATAGTGTAAGCTGAGTTTCTTCGAAAGTCACGATCCCATGCTCAACCCTCCTATTTTATTCGGGCTTGTGACCGGCAGTAGCCACAGAGGGCTACGGACTTAATCACAAATTTGTTGAAAACAAATCTCTTCGTTGAACTTCGTGTTTTTCAAGTTTGAAAATTGTGAAATTGAGTTTCCAAAGTCCCAGCATAAACAAATCACGGTGATTTAAATTATAAAAGTCATTTTGTTAATGTAAAACTAGTGTAAAATGATGATACTCTTAGATAAAATTAGCTGATCGAGACTTCATTCTAATGATGTAGAACTACAAATATAGCCCTCAATACAACTTTCTATACTAACAATTATTATGTACTGATTAAGAACTAATTCCTAGAGGAGATTCCCCGAGTTGTGATGAGTAACTATGATCAATATAATTTAGCTACTTAGGAGACAGTGCAAATATTAGTAAGTGACATGTGTGATATCTTTGCGATAACATGTACTCATTGGAACTAGAAATGTAAACTACTAAATTGTAACTCAGAGACTTGTGGGATAAGTACTCGTCGTAAGAATTGAAGGTCCTGATTTCTATTCTCGGTGAGGTGACGAATAATGACTTCTGAAAAGTTCTGTATTAGGACGAAACAGCTATTTAATGCTTCCTGGTTTGAAATAATTGCTTAACTAAAGTCAGTCACTGACGCAAAACGATAAACTCAACAATCCACCCAACTTTTGTTTTTTTTTACTAATCAATGCTCCTTGGTTCATAATAAGTCATTAACTATGAGGAAGGCATTGCAAAGTGTAGCCCAGTTTGACGCACGTTTCGTCTTTTTCGGGACTCGTCAGCTGAATGTACCTGCATCTCAGAGTTGATGTTCACTCCGGGGCTCGAATCCATTACCGTTCACTTTAAACGCTATCGCGTTATCCACTTAACTACTGTGTCCTGCTAACCACTTGCTTGTGTAATGGGGTAAAGTTTAAATTCGCTTGATATTGTTTTACTTGTATCTTTCTATTGTTATTTAGAACTACAACTGATCAGTCTCATGTTAGCAAATGTGCATTCTGTACGGATTGCCTCCATATAACCTTAAAAGTCACAAGTTCATTTAAAGCAAAGATGGATGATGGTGGTTAGCAGTGAAATTGAAAAGTTATGAATGTTTGTGTAATTTTACATTTAAATCTAGTTACATTTGATAAATTTTTTTAATTTTTATGCAAATTTTTGTTTACTTAGAGACATGTAGAAGGTGCTGAAATAAACGAGACATTTGTTACGTCTATGCATATCAATTATGTACATTATTATTCATACACTTATTTACATAACCTGATTGTAACCAATGGTTCTGAATTTAATTCGATAGACACTGAGTTCATATCTCGCATTGAAGTAGTTATATATAAGTTATATAATGTATTCTTGTGGGCCAGGGTAATTTTACATTGGTTTTCAGGAGAACCAAACATCGTCCAGATTTTCACGTGACAACGCAAACAGTACAACTCAATCCAGCTGAACAGGAGAGCCAGACACAGCCCAGGTTTAAATTTTATAACCCGAGCAGTACAGTTCAATCCCGCTTCACAAGAGAACAAAAGACACCATATAGGCTTTAATGCTACAATCTGTATAGTTAAGCTCAATCCTGTGGTGCAACCACACAGGTACCAAGCACTCTGGTGGAACATTCGCACCATTCATATAGACATTCACGTCACATATATAGCTATTCCGATCAATTATGCACAGCATGAACAGCCCAAAGTTGACCGATTTTGGTTACACGAAAGTCAAACTCATTAATGTTAGCAATGGTGATATGCCTTACAATGTCCCAATTACAATGGCCATTGAGAACACTGAAAAGCAACCACCAGTATGAATGAAATCGGTTAACCAACAAGCCAATTATGTGCATGAACAGTCAGCTGAACTTGCCAAAGTAATGCCGAACCATCCACAATATCAATGTCGAACTTCCATCTAGTATGAGACCTTCAGCTCTACATAGCAATATAGCTTTATAGCTTATACCGCATAAAATACATATGAAAGATAGTAAACGAAATAGCCCAGCTTGAAGCGTTAGGGCTTACAGAACGCTTAAAACCCATTCACTGTCTGGTGTCGTAATATCGTTACTAGACCACCAAGATCATTTTTATGGCATTTTCGAAATTTACATTTTCCTGACTTTTCATACCCTACTTGATTTAGGGGTGGTATCCCTTATATATATTCAATTAATAACTTTCGAATAAGTGAACACTTGGATCCTGAATTCTACCGTTGATCATTAAACATGGTTCAGTTGTTACAGAAATGAAGCTGTAGTTCAACAGTCAAGATATTCAGATTTCAATCAGTAAGTAATACGAGAATAAGTGTCAGATAATACCATTAGCATTAACAAAAATAGTATACTTCAATCTGGATGGTCAGGTCTTTTTCTGGGCACTTCGCTATGATTTATTGCAGCCTCTCATAAAACTGATCTTTAGGTTCATCGTTGCTATCATTGTTTGGTGCAGAAAATTGGATAAAATTCATTGTGATCCCCATTTTGATGATTCTGGATGCATGAGATTTCCATCCCATAAGTGCATTTCGTGCTTCTTTGGATAGCATCAGTGCAACTTCCTGCGTACACGATGCTAGCATTTTCTCATTCATGACCAGATTACAACAGCATCTCTGCCGAATCTAACCTTTTCTGTCCAGCTTGGGTCTAATGGGTGTCACTTATTCTGATAACTACTAAGTTGTACCCTCTCATTTCCGTAGCTATCTGACTGACCCTCTTGGTCTCCCACATTTTCTAGTCATTCCAGGTATCTATATTAATTGTTCCTTCTGATTGTTAAAAGGAGCATCAGCCGCGTTACTTTCGAAGAATCTCAGCTTTCGTCATGAGGCGTTATAATTCATCTAAATGAAGATCCTTTAACGTTCAGGAAAGAGTTTATATAGTCTTGTTTCTGGTTGGCGTTATATAATCATAAAATTGCCTAATTGCTATACTCCATGTATAGTAACTTCATAAAATTTAACTTCTCATTTTATTACTAGCTTCTTGTGTACACGGTTGTTGCAAAGACTTATCAGTCTTGACACATCTATATATTACCTACATACAGAGCAAGTAAACATTTACAAACTCATATATTGAAATCGAAACAGATTTAATAAGCATTTCATAAAACTCAGAGATCTTGTATATGGTGCATTTTAAGGTAGTACTAGTCGTTTCTTCTTTTTCAATGATTGTCTGTCTGAGGTCAGTCCATAATGCACTGAAAAAAAGCCAATCCTACATTACTTATCTATATAAAAACTTGAATTTATGTATGTGTCAGACTTATGAGTCAATTGAAGCTAGACCACCATGAAAAACCTGAAGCATTGGACGACCGTTTCATTCTAGTATGGGACTCCTAACCAGTGCGCATTCACGGTCTTGCTTCGCGAGAATAAAATCAAGGACATATATGTCTCGTGGGCGAGCGCTTAACTACTAGATCATTGAATCGCATCCAACGTTGTTAATGTCTAACTTGAACTAATCTACGAAATTGAGCAACACATCCACCAATGTCTTCAGTGAGTCACCATCTTACAACAGACCGGGTTGAACTCCACTGACCACTGCTTCTCACTAGAACTACCTCTTGGAGACCGTCACTGGTGAGTATATGTTGATTCATATCAGAAGTGGCCAACGGAGTTAAACCGGGTTTGTTGTGAGGCAGTAACTTATTGATGACAATGGTGGACGGTGATTCAATTTCGTGAATTAGTTGAAGTCATACATTAACACCATTGGATGCCGATTCAGTGATCTAGTGGTTAAGTGCTTGCATGCGAAACTGATAGGTCCTGGGTTCGAATTTCGAAAGGCGGTATTGTGGATGTTCACTGCCACTGAGGCGTCCGACGCCGAAACGGCCGTCCAGTGCTTCCATGTCTTCTACAGTGGTCTAGCTTCAGTTGACTCGTGATCTCAATCATTGAAATTATGTGTATATATATGAAATACATCTTACCTTTGGATGTATATCTGGTATATGATATTCTCGACGATTTTCCGAATTTTTATTATCACAATCCGCCATTGGTCCATAAAACATTGCTTCAAATACTGGTGAAGCAGCTGCTAATATTAAACGATGTGCAGCAAAACGCCAAATAATTGGTTCTGTATCATTAGTTCCATTCAATGATCCTTTACTAAGATCCATTGGATGAATACAATTTGAATTATTATTATTATTATATTATTATTACTTGTTCTATTTAATAAATTATTCGTTGAAGTTAATTTATGTGATATGTTTTGTAAATTATAATCATTGGATTTATTATCTGTATTATGATCTGAATGACAAGATGGTTGTTCACCATCTGAATTCAAATCTGTTGCATCATCAATAGTATTCTCTTGATCTGAATCAGTACATCTTGAATATAATATATCTAATGGAGTATTATATACATTATTATTATTATCATTACTATTATTAGTAGTATTAGTATTATTAGTAGTAGTAGTATTGTTATTAGCAGTAATGGTACGAGTAGTAATTGTAATTGTATTGGGAGGATTATTATTATTATTATTATTACCATTACTATTACTACTATTATTATTATTAGTAGTAGTATTACTATCATTATTGTTGTATATGAGACGTGATTTATTTATACTATTTGAACAATTTGTAGATCGTGTTGATGATACATTTAATAATTGTTTATTTGTACAACAATTAATTTGACTTTTTGGACCACCTGGTGCACTGGAATCATTTGAATGTAAACTTATTGATGTATTATTACCTAATATATCATCACCGCCAACAATAAACCATACATCAGCAAATCTTTCAGTAATAAGCATTTGACGCCATAATTGACGACTTCCAAATAAATTAGCCTATATTTAAGATAGAATAAAAAGTAATAAATAAGTATGATTAATATTAGAAGGGGTACATTTTGTGGGTATTATAGAGTAATTTTAATAGTTAAGATCATGATTCAATTGAAGTTAGATCGTCATGGAAAACCTGATAACATCATCCTACTGTGGTTAAGCGCTCGTACACAAGACTGTTAAGTCTTGAGTTTGAATCTCGTGAGATGGGATCGTGGATGAGCACTGTCACTGTGGAGTCTTGTCCAGTGCTTTCAAGTTTTCCATAATGGCCTAGCTTCAATCGACTCATGATCTTAAATATTAAAAGAATATAAATAACAATAAAAAATTGTTAAAATGAATTTGTAATCATAAAAGGTTTGTGTGAAATACTGAATTCTATAGTTCACATCATGAACTGAATCTTAGTTAGAAAACTATCGAGACTAGAATGCAATGTAAATCTGTTTCATCCTAATATAGGACTCTGTTATGTTTAGTTGTCATTTGAGTAGACAGCTGATATGTACGCTTCCTAGATTCTTGTCTAAACCATCTATTTAAGGGACAAAACCAAGAATAAGTAGGATGCTTGGCGAGACTACAATTAATAGACGAATCAATCACGTGTAACATAACAGTGTCGAATAAATATTTCATTCTATTATGAAGCTTCTAAATAGCGTACACACACACACGACCTTCCAAGTAATCTTACCCAATACCTTCAAATCTCTCAGTGAACGCTTAAACTTTCGACCACTCAGCATTCTATTGATTAATACAGTCAACCTTAAGCATGTTGCTGAATTTTTGTTGGAGTTTTGTTCTCTGAGCTAGACGATTTGGTCGTGGAGCTTTAATCGTTCTTCTGGACGACATCATCAGCACAAACTTCAGGTAAAAGTGAAGTGTCCGGATTTCTTCACATGGGGTTCACAGCTTGTAGGTCTACAGAACAAGCTGTGAATCACTCGTGCAGAAGCTGAAAAACTTCACTTTTATCTGAAGTTTGTGCTGATGATGTCATTCAGAAGAACAATGAAAGATCCACAACTAAACTATTCAGCTCAGAGAACAAAACTTCATCAAAATCATCCATTTAAGCTACAAATCTTCAATACCATCTCATGTTGGTGAGTAGTTGCATCATTACATTACATGGATGAACAAAGATTAGTCGAGGTTAGATGTAAAACACAACTGGTAACTTTAATTATGGACAGAATATCTACTTTGATAAAAAAAAGGAACGATCTAGTAGTAATGCAAATCAATTTCATATCTCGAATTCACAATACATCACACACACGTTCACACACACATACATATTCATTCAATTGTTCAATATGTGATCGAGCTTCAAGAACATTAAATCATTCGAGGTGTTTATTTATTTATTTTTCGTTTTTGTTCAAATTACATTCAAGTACCTTTTTTTTGTTTCTAACGGAACGACAAACAAACAAACAAACAAACAAAAGAGCAGAGAACCAATGGTTGTGTTGCATTTTATTGTAAGCAGATATCCATTACAAATGTGTACAAATCTAGTCACATATAAACAAATTTGTCTATCCATCAAATTTAATTGCTCATGTTTAGTGATGTAATTAAATCATCATAAATAAATTTGATTAGATAATAAAACATCTCTAAAATACAATAGTTAGATTTATGAGTCAATTGAAGTTAGACCATAATGGAATACCTGGAAGCATTGGATGGCTATTTCGATCTAGTAAGGGACTGCTCATCAGTATGCATCCATGATCGCGCCTCATGAGATTCGATTTGAGGATCTCTCACAGTCTTACGTGTGAACACTTCATCTTCAGACCATTAAGCTGGCATCCAATGATGTTCATGTCTAATTTCAACCAATACATAAAGTTGTGCCACCGTCCATTATTCTCTTCAGTGAGTGATTATCTCATAACAGACTAGGTTATACTCCACTGGTCACGGTTTCCAGGTTTATCATGATAATTTAGCTTCAAATGATTCATAAATTCAACTGTTGAATATATAATCTTTATAATTTATATATCGCGCTTAGTATTCCTTAATATTAATTGATTTTCTTTCTTACTTACGGAAACATGACCTTAGAATAGAAATTATTATTATTAAAGTATAACTTTTTCATTTATGCATTGAAATGTAAGTGTCTTGACTAAACCGTCACATCACATCAACACCATTGGATACCGGCCCAGTGATCTAGAGGTTAAGCATTTGTGCGCGAGATTGACAGATTGCGAGTTCGAGTTTCGTGAGGCGGGATCGCAGATGCGCACTGCTATTGAGGAATTCCAAACTAGGACGAAACGGCTGTCCAATGCTTCCAGGTTTTCCATAGTGGTTTAGCTTTAATTGACTCATGAATTTAACTATTTAATTTCAATGGATATTAATTTCTTACACGAATTATTGAGAAATATGAATGGTTGTTTTAATAAGGGAATGTATAGTTAAAGTATCAGTCAGGTTTCTTCAATTAACTGATTTGTAATGTATACTACTAAATTAGATGAGTAGAGTTAGAGATTACTGAAAAAAAATGAGAAAGCTTGGTTATTTGGCCTGAAGTTGAACAGTGAATCTAGCGTGATTACACAACTTAAAAGACATAAGTTTTCGATTAGGGTTATATTACATAATCAATTAGTAGTATATGTTGTGCATCTACACTCTTGATATCGTAGATAGAGGTATTTAGTCCTGTTGTTGTGATTCTAACTCAGTTTAACGTACCATTAATTAGTGTCTTAGTTACAAACAATATAACTGAGCTATTGTGTTATGTCTGATCTCCTGTGTAACTGTGAACTAGATAAACATAACATTTCTATTGATTAATTACTGGTTAATAATCAATGTCATGTGTGCCAGGTCCTTCTTAGTGTAGATCAAATCCTATCGACCAAGTTGCGATGTGGTCATCAGTCTATCTAGGTGACTCGACATTGCATGCACTATGTTGAGATCCTAGGTTCAGGGTTTCCTCTAGGCTACCTCTAACCACCATCTTATTTCAAGCATAACATTGATTACTACTTGTGTTTAATCACTGACATAACTTTACAAAGACGTAGAGATCACAGCGCTCTGATATAATCTGATGTCATGCGATGAAGACAGATTTTAAGTGGTAACGCATTTGTTTATTTAATTACTATTTGATAAGTTCCCATTTCTTTTTTTCTCATCTCATATTTTAAAATAGTGATACTTACCCTCCAATCGGTTGCATCTGTTCTCTTCTCTGTGTATTTGACTTCTTGTCTTTTCACAATTTTTTCAGTATCTGAATTATTTGCTTCATATAGTCTAGGACGATGTATCACTGATTCATTATGACTATTGGCTACAATTTCTGTTACATGTAAATCTTCAATACTACTAGCATCACTTATACTAGTAGTCATACTAGCATTATCGATACTAGATAATTGAGGAGGTTGAATCGATGACTGGTTATTACGCAATACATAGATTTCTCTATCTCTGCTACTATTAGGTGAATTATAAGTTGCAAGTGTTTCATTTGTTTGTGCATGATGATTACTACTGTTGTTATTATTACTACTTCTGTTCGGCCCTCCACTTTCATACTGCTGCTGCATTCCGCTTAGGTGATTTGTGCTCGAAGTGATATTCATTGCAAATGGATCATTTACACCAAGATTTGCATCCATATGACGCTGGTGAGCTACATCATTTTGAGGACGTCTTAACTGACCTTGATACAAACCTCTTGTTTGTACAGCCTGTGTAACTCTGGATGTTTGGACGGAACCTATTCGTGGTTGAGATCGAACAGCTTGTAAAGCACGATCACTATTATCTTCATTTGGTGAACGTAGAGAGAGTGTTTGGGCTGTATTAGTAGATAATGGTTGTTGATGAGGATTTCGACTTGTAGGATTAGTGAAAATAATTGGTCGGTCTACAGTTTCTTCATTCAACGGGGATGAGAGCGAATTGTTCAAATTTCGGAAACCAGAAACATCTTGTTCTACCTGACGACGTTGTGGATTTTCTAGATCTGCTGATAATCTATGAGATCTATTTTTTGATCTTCGAGGACGAAGTAACCCATACATTGGAACCAAAACTAAATTTTGTCGTTCAATTAATGTATCTTGACTTAAGCCGTTGCTTCTATCCTGAAATGATCGACGAATTTGATTTGTTAATCTATCATCAACATGTAAGTTGAGTTGATGCAAATGATTATGGCTTACTCCTGATCTTAAACGGATATTTCTTGCTAGATATTAACGAAAAAAAAACAAGTTTATTCAACAAACAATTTGAATCGCTTGTCTCAGTTTCATATTTCAGTATAAATATTCACTTAAAGCTGATATCTAGTAAGGAGAACATGGATTTCATATATTTAAACATTTTACCAAGTGATAATTTCAAAACGTATTCAGTACTTTGGAAAAAGTATTGGCTGACATTCAACAATAAATGCAGGAGAATACGACCAGTGTAGCAGTAGCGTCAGCAGAAGGAGGTCTCAACATACACAAAGGAAAAAGCAAGATTATCCGATAGAACACAACATGCACCAATCGAATCATACTCGACGGAGAAGCTGTGGAAGCTGTAAAAACCTTTACATATCTGGGCAGCATCATTGATGAAAATCGTGGATCTGATGCAAATGTGAACGCGCGAATCGGCAAAGCAAGAGCAGCAGATCTACAATTGAAGAATATCTCAAACTCAAAACAACTCTCTGTCAATCAACAACAAAGTCAGAATATTCAATACAAATGTCAAAACAGTTCTACTGTATGAGGCGGAATCTTGGAGAACTACGAAAGCCATCATCCAGAAGATACAATTGTTTATCCACAGTTGTCTACTCAAAATTCTCCGGATTCGGGAGCCAGCAACAACCTACTGTGGGAGAGAACAAACCAGACTTCAGCGGAGGAAGAAATCAGGAAGAAGCGCTGGAAGTGGATAGGACACACATTGAGGAAAGCACCCAACTGCGTCACAAGACAAGCCTTCACATGGAATCCTCAAGGTCAAATGAGGAGACGAGAAAAACCAAAGAACACATTATGCCGAGAAATGGAGACAAATATGAGAAGAATGAACAACAATTGGATCGAACTAGGAAGGAAGGCCTAGGACAGAGTGGGTTGGAGAATGCTGGTCGGCGGTCTATGACATTTGTTCATCAAATCGATATAGGGTCAATGGTTTTAATGACTTAGCATCGTGTGCACTATGTTGAGATCCCACACAGATCATCAATTCCATCAAGATTTCAGATTAACTTTGATGATGAGTACTAACTAACACAAAACTTAAGTCCAATGGTTTCCCACCTACTGTCTACAACCACCTAACTTCCTCAAATATTAGACAATGTAGGTTTATGACATTGATTTAGTATGAAAAATAGTCTATTTCACAAAGTGACTTATATTAAGCAAAGTATAAACAAATTCCTGATTTTTATGAGAGAATTGAACCTACCTGATATTCTGTTTTGCACTTTATGCTTAGAAGAATTCATAAACTCGATTGATTCTAACCAAACTAATGTATAACCGTTGACCTATTGATATATTACTTATGTAAACCATTATATACAATAAAATCAAGTTTGTATTGTCTTGTTTGTTCACAAACATCTAAGACTACAGCGAAATGTCAGCAGTACAACTCTCAAAATACTATGATTACTTAGTATTGTTTACTTGAATCTTCCCGTTGATGGTTAGGACTGCAAATGCTCAGTAACTTATTGGCATATATACATACTGTGCACATTGCTGACAATTCTCAAATAGGACGAAACGCGCGTCCTTGATTCCAATGCTAACCATTATCCCACGAGCGGGATCGTGGTTGTGCACCGCTGAGGAGTTCCACAATGTGACGAAACGGCCGTCCAATGCTTCCAGTTTTTCAATGGTGGTCAAACATCAGTCGGTTCATGATCTCAATCAAATACTATGATTAGTTGGAAGAAAGTCTAGCTGTAGATTATATTTACAGGATAAAAAAATGATGAGATTGTGAAGTTTATTTCCTTCTTAATCGGTGCTCATATGTATGCCCATGTTTTGTTCAATAAACACAAGAACTTTTAATGATGGTCAGTAATTCAACAAATGATCAACGGTATGTTGGAGAACAATGACAAGTTTAAGGTCAACAAGAACCAATTAACATCGAGGTCTACAGGACAAGCTGTGAATCACACTTCTACCTGAAGTTTGTGCTGATGATGTCGTTCAGAAGAACGATGAAAGTTTTAAGACCAAACCATCCAACTCAGAGAACAAAATTCCATCAATGTCAACAGTATTCACAATTGATTGATAACTGGATGGTGATTAATGTCATGTGTGTCAGGTCCTTCTTAGTGAAGATCAAATGCGATTGACCAAGTTGCAATGTGGTCACTAGTCTAGCTGACTCGATATTGCGTAAATTTTGTTGAGATAAGATGATGGTTATATGGTCGGTTTCATGTTGACTACCTCTGACCATCATCTGATCAACAGTATCGTAATTAAACCCCTATCAGCATGTATCATTCTGGCCTTGGTGTCCTGTTTCATTTTATTTTCATCTTTCATTATTTTTCATTGCATCTCATCTTCTTGGTGAGTCTATTAAAAATAAATTGGTTAACATACCGTAATTCAGTTTTCGTGAAGTTCCGTTCCGTGAGCTGGATGATTCAGTCTTCCTTCCAGACAATATCATCAATATAAGCTTTGGGTAGAAGTAAGCTATACCGATTTTTTTAACATATGATCAAGAGCTTTTTCTTTCAATCTTGATTTTGCTTAGTTATTGTTGACTCTTTTCTTTTGTCGTTAACTGAATATAAATCTCGATTATTGGCCTCCTTAACCTGATTCTTATGCTGTATTTGGTCACAGTTTTTCTAATTGATTATAAATTGAGTAGATTTCAATGTGCTTATTGATTTAAGTTGAAATCATGAGTCAACTGACAAAGACCACCATGGAAAACCTGGAAGCACTGGACGGCCGTTTCGCCTTGTATGGGACTTCTCAGCAGTGCGCATCCACGACTCCGCACCCCGCGAGATTCGAACCCAAGACCTGTCAGTCTCGTGCGCAAGCGCTTAACCAACTAGACCACTGAGCTGGCATCCGACGGTGTTAATGTCTAACTTCAACCAATTTACAAAGTTGGGCCACCGTGTACCATTGTCTTCATTGAGCTGATATCTCACAACAGACGTGGTTGAGACTGATAAATCCTGTGTTCGAATCTCGCGAGGTGCGGGATCGTGGATGAGCACTGTTGAGGAGTCCCATACTAGGACGAAACGGCGTCCAGTGCCTCCAGGTTTTCCATAGTGGTCAAGCTTCAATTGACTCATGGTTTCAATCTGTGAAATTTCTAACATCTCCACAAACCCCTTCCGATATTGATTTAAGTACCAAGCTTTTAAACATTCCCTAGTCTTTTTTTTATTCCCTGCCTATAAACTTAACATTGTTCCAGTATAATGTGTGTCCATAATTGTCCTTGTTCATTAATATAATCGAAGATACGTCATGGAGTTTGACAGCTAGTTGATGTTTATGTAGATGATGATGAAGTTTCGTCGATGACTATTCTTTTGAAAATTAGTCATGATATATATATATATATATATATATATATATATAATATATATATATATATATATATATACTGTATTTTAGGCGTTATGCAGTACATTCTCTCTATTTTGAATGAAGTACATACATAAGTTGATTTCGCGGGTTGTTGATATTATGATGGAGAACTTAATCTGTGTGAGTTGGCTTCCAAGACATTTAAGTCTCTAGTTATTTTGTGCTATTTCAAGTGATTAGTAGATCAAAGAATAATAGTTTGTTTGTTGTTCAAAACTTCTTCTACTGTCTATATCCTATCGTTAAAAACGTTTCTAATCAAATTATGGGTATTCTTCAGCTTAACATTTTTGATAATAACAAATGTATTGTCCAAACAATTGATTCACAATACCCTATTAAGATCGATGAGAGAAGCCATCAGTCATATGTGGCGAAATCCGAATAACTCACTTCTACTTGAAGCTTGTACCGGTGATGATTTTAAGAAGGGAGATAAAAGCTTCACGGCTAAAAGAACCAGTTCAGAAAGCAAAACCTCATGAAAATCATCTATCTAAGCTAAACGATTTTCTCCAAACAAACTTTATCATATCTTAGTTTGCAAATTTATTAAACAAATAAGTGGTATTCTCAAAACCTGACATCCTATGTATACATATAACAAAAAGCTATTAACAAGTAACATACCACTAGCACTGCGTTGAAACCAAAATCCTGATGGATCACTTAATTGATTTTGTGAACGATAATATCTAGTGTTTGGATCATTCAAGTAGATAATATTTCGATCATCTTCAAACCTTGGCGATAAATCTTGATGTCGTCTATGACGAAATGAAACATTACGATCATGACGTCGTTCTCTGGAATATGTTTCACGTTGATCTTGATTTATGGTTATTATCGATGGTGAATTATTCTGTGTAGATTCATTACCGATTTCACTATGTGGACTCTGTGATTGTTCATGGTGTTCAGATTGTTGTTGATGTTGTTGTTGTGGAGATGATGGTTCAGACATGATAATTCTGAGGAAATCTTAATAACTTTACAAGACTGACAATTTTCCACTCATTTTTTTTCGTTAATTCGAGTGTTTTAAGTTGTTATTTATGAGTTAAATGAATGAATAACCAACATGAGAAATCTGAGCGAGATACAAATGTAGAGACAGAAAGGGAGAGTAAAAAAAAGCAACGAATAAAAACTTCACAAAAATCATTGAAAACTGGTTTGTTAAACAATTTCGAATCTTTTCTTTAATTAACGATTCAATAATATTTTAATAGTTGAGATCATGGGTCAATTGAAGCTAGACCACTATGGAAAACCTGGAAGCACTGGACGGCCGTTTCGTCCTAGTATGGGACTCCTCGACAGTGCACATCCATGATCCAGCCCAGTGGTCTAGAGGTTAAGCGTTCGAGTGAGAGACTGATAGATCCTGGGTTCCAATCTCGCAAGGGGGGATCGTGGATGCCCACTGTTCATGAGTCTTATATTAAGACGAAACAGCCTTCCAGTGCCCCCAGGTTCTTCATGGTGTTCTAGCCCCGATTGACTCATGATGTTAACTATTAAATCACCATAATATCCACAAAACCCCATTATGAATTTAATCTGTCATAAATTTGAATGGTGTAATGAGAAGACGAGGATTATTAGAACTACGTGACGATAGATTAGAGTAATACATTTCGAACAATCTAATTGTAGGGTCGGTTATTATGTTAAGCCCATATACCTTATTCTAGCTTTCGGACAGCCCATTCTATTCATTGTACTTGAGTCACATTCTGACCTTGTTATTTATTCGCTTATCAATCTTGAATGTTTTTATATGAGCGCGCAGGTGTGTATACATTTCTTATCCCATTACTCATCACGTCGGGCTCACCACTTTTGTGGAGGCCCGTAATTTTGTCGTTGTTTAGTTCGGACGATGTTTGTTGACGGGCTCTCCATTTTAGTGACCCGTGGATCTGACTCCAATTCGATCGTATGAATATTTGTTATCGCCTATCGTCGTATATAATCATCGACTTAAATCGTGTTAGTCAATAACGGAATTGAATAAGTTGAGTAACGAGAATGAACTTGTGAATATATATATTTTGTATATAAAGCGAATGGAATAGAGAGAAGAGAAAGGATGTAGAGTGGAGATGGCTAACCTGTCAGTGAAATATCACTGAGACCTAGCCAAATCATCCGGCAGTTGTCACTGAATACCGAACAGATCATCGACCCCTATCAAGGTCAAGGACAGCCAACGCGCATCAGTTGATCGTACGCCACTGACTGGTCCATACGGTGGTGGTCACACTTTTGCTTGTACTTACTTAAACTAATATATTTCTGTAACAATGCCTATCAGTCCCATAACCTATTCGGGTGTGCTAGTGAAAAGTGTACAACAAGTTACAAAGGAGCCCAATCACAGACATCGTGATTGTTGGCAATATGCATTCAGATGTCGATTTACTGAACTGTTAACATCTAACTGGCGATCACTTAATATTTACCGCAAGGATCGATCAAGAAATAAGAAAAGGAAACTTATTGAAATACTTTGTGCTGAGAATTCTATATTGTACCAAGATAAAATATAATATTGTTTACATTCAATTCAGTTGAATATTAACAAAGACTATGGTTAGTTGGAGGTAAACAAAGGAAATTTTGATGAAGTTTTGTTCTCTGAGCGTTCGAACACTTCACTTCTACCTGAAGTTTGTATTATTGATGTCGTTCAGAAGAACGATGAAAGCTCCACGAACAAATCATCCAGCTCAGAGAACAAAACTCCATCAAAATCATCCACCTGAGCTACAAATCTTCTCCACCATCTCAAACGAGACTTTCAATAAACTAAAATATTCGACAAAAGTTTGCAATTGATCGTAGTTGATTTTCTAGACCACAGTCTTGAATTTACAAACTTTTACTAATATCTTCATTCTGTGAAACATATCAATGTTTGTTCGAACTTAGTAACTCGTACGGTAATGAACTTAGTGCTTAAAGTGAAGCGTTCACTGTTTCAATCTCTCGATGAATATCAATACTAAGATGTCAGTAAATCCAGGTGATGACTCTTAAAAAGAACGAAATACACATCCTAAGTCCCGTTTCTTGTACCATATCAAATACTTTAAAACTGTTTTATCCCATTAGTTGCTCCCGGTTTCCCGCACCGTGGAAGTGTTCTTCTGGAGGTACCGGAAAACGAAATTTGATTAGACGTGGTCTTAGTGACCTGAGAGTGTGACCGCAGTTTCCAGGAAAAAACTGCATGAGGTCGGTCACACACGACCCTTTTGTGAGTAATTTTTGTGTTACCTTCGTACTTGTCGGGACTTTACCACCAGAGACGGATATCCATCGGATTAGGCGAGGTGTGTATTTTTAGGGTCGACCGTTTCTAACCCCACTCTTCCTTGTGCGAAGGCACCATTGCTGTTATGATGGTTGTCTGAAGGAAACACCTTACTAATGTCACACCTCTGTACACTCAGCAGTAGGACTTCGCCTTCGGACTTTGGGTTTGCTGCTTTTAGTCTTACCGTTCTTCAATCGACCTACCTGACATTGTAGGACATTGAAAAACGATTGTTTCAGCCAGTATAGCTCGACTGATTCATTACAATAGGTGAGCCCCACCACCATTTCAAGTTAGCAACAACGATTGAATGATCACTAGGTGGTGATCAATGTTAATGTAATATCAAGTCTTTCTTAGTGCAGATCAGATGTTATCGACCAGGTTGCAATGTAGTCATTCATAGTGTCATTCATGTTAAAATTAAGTTGTTGTTGTTTTGTTTTGTTTTCATTTTTGGCCACATATTATTATTGAATATAGAAATTTTACTTATGAGATTATTATTGGTAAAACTTGTCCAATTATGAATTACACATTATTAAACGAAATGGCTTATTAGTTAAACAGAATATTCCGCTAATTATTATCATTATTACTAACTAACTAATAACTTCTATTCTTATTTTATAACTTTCTTAATTTAATATTTATGTATACAATATAGTAAACAGTTATTGATCATTTTAGTTATGCTTATCTATGTTTACACCTAATAGTTTAACAAGCACCATTCATATACATATGTATATCAATGTGTATTCATGTGCACACTTGATTGTGCTTTCTTATTAATATTGGTTAGAAACTTGGAGACAAAGGTACCTGATCGATAATAACGGAATATTACTTACTATATTGTTATTTTATTATATTTCACGTACACACACACACACGAAGAGCGAGAGAGAGAGAGAAAGAGATACATAAAACCAAGTGTTTCATTGCATTTTATTTTTCACCTATTTGTATCTATGTGACTAATCAGTCGGGAAATTAATCAACTGACTCTAACATGTTTGTGTTTTTTTTTAAATAAACAAAAACAAAACAAGTTGAGTGCGTTGCTGATGTGTCCTATACTAGGACGAAACGGTCGTCTAGTGCTTCCAGGTTAGCTTAAATTGATTCATGAATCCAACCATTAAATTATTATAAGTTCTATAAAGTCTCATTCTGACCAATTAGTTCTTCATCAGGATAGAATGTCGATATCAATTAGATGGTGGTGAGTCAATTTAACAAAATACTAACCAGTTAGTTACACGTTTGAAAAATTGAAAAAAAAGACTAAAAGTACAATGAATTTTCATAATCAGTTAATTATTACAAATAGTTACATCATCAAATTGGATGTAAATATAAACGCTTTTTGTTATAATTTAACGGCTGAATTCATGAGTCGATAAACGCTAGACCATTATGGAAAACCTGAAAGCATTGGACGGTGGTTTCGTCCTGGTGTCGAACTCCTCAACAGTGCGTACCCACGATCCTACATGCAGAATTCGAAACCAGCACCTTCGGTTTCGCGCGCGAACACCTAACCTCTAAACCACTGATTCAGCATCCAACGGTGTTAATGTCTAACTTCAACTAATCCACGAAATTGAGCGACATATCCACCATTGTCTTCAATGAGTTACTATCTCACAACAGACCTGGTTGAACTTCACTCACTAGAACTCTAGGAAATGTCCCTTGGAGACCGTCACTAGTGAGCATATTTTAATTAATATCAGAAGGGGTTTTTTGGAGATTTTAGTAAGTTTATAGTTGAATTCATGAGTCAATTTGAGCTAGACCACCATGGAAAACCATGAACCACTGGGCGACCATTTCGTTCTACTATAGGACTCTTCAACAGTACGCATCTACGATCTTAACTACTAAAATAAATTAATCAATTGAAACAAGAATAAAAATAGTAACATCTTTATCTATTTAAATTAGAAAAAGTAATATTGACTGAAAATGACTAAAATGTTAAATGATTTATGAATTGTATTTTCTTAGGTCCAACTAAAACTACTACAATATCAGAACAATATATTATAATGGATTGAATTTAGATGATGAATTTCATTGACTAAAAGGTCTGCAAACAATATGTATCATACATAGCTGGTCATTGTCGTGTATTGATACGCTTTATAGTATACTACGGTGAATGCTACTGATGTCAACAGACATAAGTAGTAAGTATCATTAATCAAAAGTAGAATGCTTCGAAACAGAAGGTTAAGAAGATTGACGAAAAGAGAACAAAACAAACAGAATGGAAATAAAAGAACAATGAAACTTGAGAAGATTGATTAACATTTTTTAGAACGAAATATTTTTTTCTGTAGGGTTCTTCAAATTTGACAAAATGATTCCATAATTCTGTACTCTTATTCATTATAATACTACGACCAAATATTATTGAACACTGAATAACTAACTCATCCTAGTTTTGAGACTTGTATATACAGCTATGACCTTCTTCATAGTAAAACAAAAATGAATATTATTGAATGATAATCTCTATTTATTTTGCTGAAATATTTAACATTCAAATTATATAGGGAAGTAATTTCATTCGGTTAGTTACAATCTCAACTTATGTTTTAGAGAATGACTTACAAGATAATCCATAT